GCCTCGGCTTAGGAGGGCTGACCAATCAGGGAAGCGCAGCTCGGAAATGGCCCCGGGGAACTTCATTTCCCGACCTCGGGAGGGTCGACTCCCTAATTTACCACTTCCCTTATGTATGGAGGCCACAAAATTATACACAATTACTAACTACCGGTGGTTCATTCCGCAGGATTCCCCCCGCATAATGGACTCGTTTTGATATGGGGAAGCGGGGAGAGAATACATACTTTTGACGGCTCTCACGGTTCAACTAGTCCCGAGATCAGCCCGATCATCGGGTATTAGAACGGCTTACGGGTTCTGGGAAATGACCTAATGTTTTGCCTCAGCTATGCTCACGTGTTACCAAAAATATCCCCGGATCATGCGGTCAATTTATTTGAGCGAAGGAAAAAAGGAAAAAAGAAAAGAGTCACGTGGAACGGGGTACAACATATGATGTTGTACGGGATGAGCGAAAAGTCCGAATTATCGGATCTGATAACAAAAAGTTCCCGCGTCATTCTCACATGTCAAATGTACCAACATGTGAGAGTTTTTGTCTATTCATTGCGCCTGACCTTGGACACCCGCGGCAATCCTAGCCACGTAATCAGAATCGCACCGGATAGGGCAATGATAAATGGCTGCAGCACTTTCACTCCCTTGGCTTGTGCAAGCACACCAACAGCAAAAGGGAGAATAGCGGCCCCGCTACCTCCGAAGGCAGCGACAAATCCTATTGAGGTAACATGCAGATGCCGAGGAAGAAGCTTCGTAATCATTACCACTGCTCCGGGGAAAAGGGGCCCCAGAAAGAAGCCTTGCAAAGACACTGCCACGGCCGATGCATAAAATTGGGGCACAAGCCATAGAACCAAAGCAAATCCCATGGAGCAAACTATGTAAACCTGGTGGGAATCAGTCTCGTTATATCGCAAGACAGCGCGATGCTCACCGAAATTGCGACTTTCTCGCCGACCCGGGGCGTCACAAACCCTAACATTACTCGCCCAATCGTGATACCCAACCAGAACCCAGTAGCTGTCATACCGCTAGCAAAAGCGCTACCTTGCCGGACTCGAATCATAAAAGTAACAATCCACCCTCCCAGCGCGACTTCTACTCCAACATATCCCAGCAAGAACAATGCACAGAGCCAAGTCACCCGAGCAGCTGGGCGCTTGAAGATTGCATCCCTCAAGCCACCCTTTTTGTTCTCGTCCGCTGATGGTACATTCAATGCACGGTAATCGGCAGCAGTTGATTTCCAGAAGCATGCGCCAGAAAATACCAGTTCGATGGCCGCACATCCGATCTAATCGATTAAACAGTGGTCAAATAGCTGCGAGGAAGTTCAGCACTTACCATGACATAATAAAAGTAATACCACGGCAGACCACCCTTGGCAATCATTGACGTTGCGACCAACGGCCCCAGAACTGCCCCGGCTCCATAGATCCCATGTAACACCCCCAACACCTCATTTGCATTGGCCATGTTACCAATCCATGCATTCCACGCAGAATCCTCTAGGCCATTTCCCAAACCTGCAAAGACGAATGCGACCACTATTACCGGATAAGGTGGATGAACGCAGTTAATAATATAGGCAATGAGATGAGACGCTGGTCCGATAATGGCCACACCGCGTTGACCTAGCATATAGTGGATGCGGTGATTGAGAAAAGCGGCGGCCGTATAGCCTACTAGAGGTGACAAGAAAATGAGAGACACAATCGTGTACGATAGATGGTAGTATGATTCCAGCTGTATGCTGGATGAGATAGATTCTAGTTAATTGTAGGGAATTCAACTTACGTATGGAATTAGAGCCTGCGAACGGTTAGTAGATAGCTCACCAAATTGAGACCACACTGTCTCCTTTTGGGCAATATCAACTTACACCATATGCTGCGTCATTCGCACCCATCACGAGGAATGACCAGAAAGTTGCAAAGGTTCGATGAATATTCACGCGAGGCTGGTTCCATTTCTCTAACAACGGAAATTCAGGGCCCACGGGTGAACCTGTATTTGACTGGCCATGAGGCAACGCCTCGAGAGCGATAAGGCTCGCATCGCGCGGATTTTGGATCATACAGTCAGTTGCCATAGCGCGTAATTCAGTGCTGTAAGAATTTTTGGGCAAGCAGAACAAAAAAGCAGCCATAAAAGTCCGCAAAAAGCCTTGGCGCGGTGGTTCAACCCGCATTGCCGGATTGAGATGAGGGGATAGTGAGGCGTAGTGTAGTTACCCCACATTGCTTCGGTAGAACTTCGGATGAGGATGCTACTGAACGGGTTATCAGCCACCATTTCCGGTTACGTTCCGACAATGGTTGCGCTTGTTATTTGTATGCGTTAAGAGGTCATGCACTAGCAGATGATTTCTGATAGATCAACTCCATCATCAACGACTTATTGTGAAAAGCTAAGTGCTGTACTAAGAACACCCCAAGATTGAAGCTCTCACATAGCGTCCGTGGTCGCTTGGGACCCCATCGAGTACTTCGTCCATTTCCTCAATAACTTCTATGCATTAAATTTGATATCCTTACGAAGAATAAAAGCATTGGATCGTTGAAACATCCCTCGAATTCTACCATCAGCACTTCAAGACGCTCTCCTCTGCAATACGAACTCGCGCAGTATTTGGATTCTACGGGGGTTGTTTTTCCACCAATCAGAATATGTTCATTTCCTTATAACCCAACCCAATGCTGCGATCAAATCAACATATTCTAACAGCAATGAGTTACATTAATCCCATAATCCCGGGATTTAACCCTGACCCATCCATTATTCGTGTCGATAAAGACTTTTTCTTGGTCACCTCCACCTTTGAATACTTCCCTGGAGTTCCCATTTACCACAGCCAGGACTTGATTCAATGGACATTGATCGGTCATGCGTTGACACGGCCCAGTCAGCTTCAAATTCATACGCCAGAGCCGGGAGGAGGCGTATGGGCAACCACAATTCGTTATCACGGAGGTGTTTACTATGTCATCGCTGCGAGCTTTCAGCGTTATCGTCCTCAACAGGATGACCGAGTTTGGCCACAAGGGTTTTATGTTAAGACGACCGATATATGGAATGAGAAGACATGGTCTGATCCAGTCTATTTTGATCAAGTTGGGTTTGACCAAGATGTGAGTTTGAAGCAATGGTATCACCACATGCATACATCACGAGAATGACAATTGAATACTACAGCTTTTCTGGGATGACGATGAAACCGTATATTTATCGGCCACCTACAGAAAGCTTCAGCCAAGTGCAGGTGCTAAGCTGAAAGACTTTGCGATTCATATATGTACTGTTGATCTGGCCACCGGGCATTCTACATCTGAGCCTAAATTGATCCGGGAATCTTGTTCTGGTGTTGCCGAGGGATCACATATTTTCAAGCGCGGTCGTTATTGGTATTTGTTTACAGCAGAGGGAGGTACTGAAAGCGGTCATAGCGAATGGGTGAACCGCAGCGAGGTCGGTCCATTAGGACCGTGGGAACTGGGGCCAAATAATCCTCTCTGGCGCAATGGCGTTGAGGACGAAGTGCAAAACACCGGGCATGCCGATCTGGTCGAGGACACCAAAGGGCAATGGTGGGCAGTCCTTCTCGGTGTTCGTCCTTCAAGACAGGGAGATACGTGGGAAGAGTCAGTGCTAGGTATGACCTCTCAAAGTATCAGTTAGTTATCATACTAACCTTCCCAGGCCGAGAGACATTTCTAGTTCCTTTGGAATGGAAAGACGATTGGCCTGTGATCAATGGAGGACAGAAAATCAGTCTCGACTCCTACGGACCTGGTCTGTACAAATTCCACACCCCAGTTTCCTGGAGAGATGAATTTTCAGATCCGCAACTGCAAGTTGGATGGTATCGAAAAAGTGAGATCCGAAGAACGAACCCGCCTGATCCCATCTGACTATAAAACAGACACGCCCTTTGTAAAAGACTACTCACTTACTGAGCGGCCCAATCACCTTCGTCTTCACGGCGGACCCTATAACCTGTCAGTGCCGGCCAGCCCAACTATGTTCCTTCGCAAGCAAACCCACCAGCTCTGCAGGTGGAAAACAAAGCTCTCCTTTCAGCCGATGATAGACGAAACCGAGGCTGGGACTGTGGTGTGGTTAAACTATTTTACCTATAGCAGCATCGGTATCAGGAAGGATAGCAAGGGCCGTTTTATCCGTTTTCGACCATCAGAGGGCGACGTCGTGGAACATAGATTGGATATAAAAACTGATGTCACTCTCACGGTTGACTGTGGCACCGAGTATCGATTTGGGTACTGCGAAAGCACAGAATCTGACATCCATTGGATCGGGTCAGTTTCTAATAGTGCTGCTATGGCAGCACCTCCGGTTGGGGCTAATTTTACTGGAATGATGCTAGGTCTATATGCATTTGGAGAGCGCCAGAGATGCCTGGCCCCAGCTGATTTTGCGTACGCAGAGTTCAGATAAGTCAACCCTATAGGAAATTGTTGATGCTTTGTGTTAAATAATCCTTTTGTTTCTCCTCCATCTTCTTTCAATACCGTAAGCTAGTTTATGCAATTGTATTTCTCCTTAGTTAGTTACCTTCTTTCCCCTTACCTAAGAAGAATAGGTAGTTCGTGAGCGGATCCATCGGGTCTAGAAGATCAGTCGACACCATTCCGGAGGATCTCCGACGAAATATAGCAGCTTTCCAATTCTACCCGTTATTTGGCTACGCGTAACTTACTTCGGAGGCATGGTAGTCGGCTTGGTATTAGAAGCATCCGGGGCCCGGGCAGTGTACTAGGCTGCATGTGAATATTACCCTTGAGCTTTTCAACTTCAGATCTGCTATTCCACGCTCACATCTAGAACTTCTCAACGTCGCGTGAGAGTTTGCATTTCCTTCTGTCAGGGTTGTCACTGAGATTCGAGGCATGTGTCTTCAATTTATATGGGTTTGCAAATCGCGCCTACTACCTGCGATTTGGGTTGTAAGGTTAGATATATCCTTTCAGTTTGGTTTCTTATTCTATGCGTACTCTCTCAGCATAGTCAAGACCGCCCCTAATCACGGCCAGGTCGCCACCCCGAGTTAACATAATATCTCTCTTTGCCAAACCACAAACGACGTCCCTCTTCCCAGAGAACCAATCGTATGGGACGAAAAACTGCTCGAAGACCTTGATCGTCAGGGGATCTTTGCGTTGCGCGATCTCTAACCCACTCTCGTTGAGATCAACAGAGCATACCCAAGAAGACCGATTAAGGAATACGAGTTTCCTTGATTCGTCAATTCCGATGACATGGGCAACGCTTAGTCCGAATGCTGTCATCCGTGAACGAAGCGGAGCGGCCGAACTCAATGTTTTGACCATTTTCTCCCCCTCTTCATCCGTGACAAGTGGATCGAACGCCGGTACAGCATCTAATTGCTTCCCTAGCAAGAAGCTGCTATCTCTGTTTTCGATGACAAGGTGGTCTAAATCAATTACCGTAATTCTGTTGGAGTCGACGGAGCTGTTCGGCTGTAACAAGTCTAGCATAATTCTTTGTTTTTGGCCGACCGAATAGAGGATCGCGCTTTTGAGCTCTGCCATGTCATTTTTCAGCGATAATGCAACGCATGAAAATTCAGACCAGTCACTCCAGGAGTAGGCGCAGACTTTGGTGTTGTCGATACAGACAATGTGTAGAGAGGATTCTGGATGGGGGAGCCATTTGCGGATTCCGGGAATTTGTGGATATGTTCGCTCTGTCACACACTTACCGCTGTCCAAGCTGAACAGGTGATCAGACTCACGAGTCGATACTAGGAACTTCGCCGCCATTTCCCCTACTAGCACATCTATGATTGCCTTCTCGGAGTCGAGGCGGGATTTGAAGAGTACCGTCAAATCACTAAGCCAGCCTTTGTCTGCTGACTTCTGCATTCTGTGTAGGAAGATCATGTTGGAGGCATCGACACTAAGGAGCGCGTCTCTCCGTTCAATCCAGACCAACAGGCGGACTGGTGCCTTATGGCAGTATAGAGTCTTCAAGCTCGTTGCTGTTTTCTGTTCGTACAGTACGACAGATCCATCATCCTTTCCGCAAAAGATAACTTCAGACGTGTGATGGACCACCATGGCAGTGATCTTCGCTTTGGCTTCCACGGAAACCGTCTCGACCACTGTAGTGAAAGTGGTCCCGCTGCTGTCATCGCTCAAGGTCTCCCGCAACAGAGTTTCAGGTTCCCACACATTGCACTGGGCGCCTCGTATATCGGCAAAAAGCATACTGTCCCTGGCAAAGGCAAGCTGCTTGATGAATGAGTTGGATGACTTGACCCGATACAGGAGCTTGAAGGTATCAAATTCATAAACGTGGATAATCCCGTTTGCACCACCCGCTGCGAGGAGACACCCATTGGGACTTGGAGCGAGGGTTTGGCAATTGGCACGAAAACATTCCAGCTGCCGATCGGCAAAGGGGTCAAGGAGGGCAAGATCACCATCGAGGTACACTACTGCGAGAAGACTAATGTCAGGATTGGGGTTGAAAGCAAGCGCAACGACAACAACATCCGTGCAGGTTTCTCCGCTGGATAGTTTCTTGCCACAGTTACCAGCGTAGGCGTCCTCTTCCATGTCCCACAGCACAATGGGTTGGCGGCTGTAAGCGACGGCAAGCATTCCGTGGGTGGTAGAGAGAGCCAGTGCGCATGGGGTCCCACGCGGAGGCGTTCGGTTCGTCTCTAGCGTATCGGTATCGCTCCATGGCCTCCGCACCGATTCCGGCTGGGCGCCGTGTCCCAAAAACCAAGCCGCGACATAATTGTTGCGACTCACAATTAAAAGCGTACTTCCATCGAATTCCATCCCCACCGGACTGGGAGGGCTCGCGAGGCTGTGCACCACTTGCCCACTTCTGATATCCCAGACCTTGGCCATTTTCATACCACAAGTTGCTACGAGGTCAGTTTTGGGTTTGAAAGCAATGAATTTGACTGCTTCACCGTGCTCCAAGACCTTGTACTCCTGGTACGATGTGGCATGATACAATATGACAGTTCCTGAACTGAGACCGACGGCCAGGAACTCGTCTCCATAGCGCAAGGCCCTAGGTTGACCTTGACGGAAATCGATGCACAGCAGCCTGTCATCCCATTGCTTGTTAGGCGTGCCAAGCACTTCGAGCCTCCGGCCTGAGCGCCCAGTGTTGTATACCATAGACTCGGTGGGACTGAATGGAGGTACCAACGAATATATTGCTGACGGTGATATCGTGAGCGCGTTGGCAAACATGGCAGGAATCCGAGCAAGGTCCGTTGTCCACTGTCGTAGTGCTTGTAACCGAGGGTCCAGTGGTGAACGCTCAATGGCACATGCATTGACGTAGATCTTGAGATGTTTTGAGGCGCGGATAAGGTGATTAAGACTTTTCGAGTCAGCAATCGTTTCAATCCAAGTGAGGACATTGGATCTGAAGAACTGCACGGCAAGCTGGAATGTCCCTGCCGCCAACGGGTCAGACCTCGAGAGATGATAGGAGTATGCTGTGTATGCATAGGCGGCGAAATCTAATCTTGCTGCTGGCAAACGTGCCGAAGGACGGCGTCGGCTGCTCCTCGGAGGCTTCATTTCTTCCCCGACAAGGTAGTTGAGACACACCCGAGCCATCCGTGTGTGCTTGAGTTTTTTCGACAAAGAATTCGGACTCAAGTCCGCCGGATACAAGGAATTGCCTGGCAGTTTCATGCACCATATTAACTCTCCCATATTTGTCCACGACCACCAGTTCACCACAAAGCGTGGTGATACTCTCCTCCAACCTTGGGAATGAGTCGTGGGTGTCTAAGGTCAGAGCACCATCTAGTTCACTGATTGTCATTGGTCGAATTGCGCATACTGCCCACATAAGAATATTTTTGGCCAGCTCTTTTCCTCGAGCAGCCTGCGACATATAGTCCAAAGTCCGCTTATATAGTGACTCCATGCCTCTGGGCACGTCTTCAAGAATCTGGTAAATTTCCCTCCTGCTGTGGCAGCGTATAAGTTCTTCGAGCACTAAAATTGTCCACAAGAAGGACCCCATAGATTTGTCTAGTATCTTCTCGGCTAATGTACCTCGATCATCAGGTCCGACGACCCCTAAGGCCTTGGTTCTATTCTTAACCAAAAGACTGAGATCTGACTCTGTGTCTGTTATCGAGATTGGCAAGGACTGGACCAGGTCGGGTGCAATAAACGAGAGACCTTGGTCCAGATCGACCGTATACGACTTGTGATGAGAATTCTCAGGGGTATAGATTCGTCCATGTTGGAAATAATGGCATATAAAAGGACCGGAGGATTGAAACACTCGTCTAGGGCGTCGATGACCCAGAAATGCCGAGTCATTGTGGCCTGGAAAATGCCAGAAAGGAAGAGGATTCTCCAGAGGGTATGTTCGTCGACACGATCTAAGCAAACACCATCCGCCTGTATTCCTAGAATCGCATCACTAGCTTCGCTATTAGAGCTAGCCATCTGAAAAGCCAGAGATCGGAGACAACAACCTAGGTTGGACTTCGACTTGTCTCCATGTTTGAAGAAAAAGTAGCTGCATGTCTGGCCAGAGTCCTTGAGCTGATCGATGACATAGCCAGCGAGAACAGATTTTCCAGTTGCTGGATTGCCCTTTATCCATAGTGTCCTGTCATTTCCGGATTCCCCATCTCTCCATTTGACGTGACTGGCTTTGGTCGAAATCCATCCGCAGGTCCCATGCATCCGAGCTTCGCAGACGTTTGTAAGATCATTGTCTAAGATGTCGGGAACTTTCAGGTACTTCTTGAGATTTTTGATTCTCTCACGCCTCTGCTTCAGTTTCAGCTCCGGAATTGCCGCGGTGATTTTGTTCACAGTAGAGGCGAGCGCGTTTCGGAGGACGGCATAGTTGGGGTCTGCAGGTGTGTCAAACTTGCATATCGAGCGGTGGTCAGCAGTCATGGGTATCTGCTGCTCTTCACGGTACCCGAGGACGGCCGACTCGGGATCGACGATGAGTGAGCTAAACATTTTCATATTCTACGTTTCGTAGAACGACCAGAGCTCAAGGCCGGCCGAAAAATGTCGAAATCCGTCATTGATTACTTGGACTGCCCCAGAATTTGGTTCCAGATCGCCAACATAAGCACGGTCGTATGCAACCTTGAGGAGGTTCTTCAGAATCTTTGCCGAATCGGCACCTCGATGCGGCGTGGCGAGAAAATAGAATGCGGCGAATCGCCCAGCCAGCGCCTTGTACACTTCGTCTTGTTTAGCCAGGATATATGCTTTCTTTATCACTAAGCCACCCTTGCTGTGGCCGATGACAACGATGTGTGTTCCAGAATTGAGAATGCATGGCGAAGTGCTGATCGCACCTAGGAATGACTTGCTAATGTGGTGTATATTCAAGCAGTCCTCTTTTCCTTTCAAGTAGTACGAATCGTATCCATAGCTATGAATGCGGACGTTCTTGAATGCGGGATCTTTGGAGAGCCACTCCCTTGGCCAGAAATTATACCGCAGAGACGATTTGGTCCATGTTTTTCTAGAATTACCGCCTAGGCCATGGACGAAGATGAAGTCGATCTCCGGTGCCGTCGGGGAATATAGGAGACTCAGTCCAAGAGGGCCTTTTACGCTCTCCGCTTGACCGTCCGATGTGTTTGACGTCCTGGGCAGGGCCTTTGACAGAGAAAACAGGCTCCTCGAGCTCTTAGTCGAGTCGCGACTACTTGAGGGACTGTCGGGATATAGTTCGGGCTTTGCGTGCCGCTGCTTTCGAAAGAACTGGTACAGTCAGCGATCTGGTAAGAGGGAAGTTTCCCAGGAGGCCAAGGAGGTGAGAGTCAACCATTGTAGACCAAAAAATCCCAGTGCGTACGGCGTCAATCCGGTCGCTCGGACTTCAAGAACGGTCTGCCAATCAAGAGAATAATAGAATAATGGTTCAATGGGAGTTGTTTCAGGAGAGACTCTTGGTAATGCCCAACACCTTGGAATTGAAGCACGTAATATGTACCTACCCCTCCTTCGAACCACCAATCAGCCAGTTGTCTTAACCGCTCGTCAACGACCCCCGCCGACTCGGGAAAGATAACGGTAGGTATTTACCCAGAAACTCACTCCCTTTCACCTCTAACTTTGACATTTCTTGAGGATGCTGTGCTGATTTGGCGCATAAAAGGGATTGTTCACGCATTGTATATTATTTCAGAGCCATATACTATGGGTTCAATGCATCCAACCTTCGCAGTTGGGGACCATGAGGCTTTCATAGAATTCGCTCTCAGGTACAAAAATCACCGCCAGCTGCAAACAAATTCTGCGTCGGAGCCATACTTGTCGACGGCGCTAACGGCAAGATGCTATCAACAGGGCACTCGCTTGAATACCCGCGAGATTACAATGAAGATCTAGGCACCACGCACGCAGAGCAGTGTTGTTTCATCAAGATCGCCGATGAATACAACCTTCCCGAGGAACGCATCCACGAGGTCCTTCCGGCTAACACAGTGCTGTACACGACCATGGAGCCATGCAACGAAAGACTTAGCGGCAATATGACCTGCGCGACCAGGATCTTGAGGCTTAGGAGCGCCATCAAGACGGTCTACGTTAAAATCAAAGAGCCAGGGACATTTATTCCGCACAATGATGGACAGCAAAGGTTGGAGGCAAACGGGGTCAAGGTCGTGTTCCCTGTTGAACATTGGCATGATAGGATCATCAAGGTCTCAATGACTGGACATTGAAGACTGAGTTTGGAGTAGCGAAGAAAGGTTGCGGAAACACCCGGACGGCCCGAGTCGCCACGTGGCTCTGGACCCTTCTTTACCTTCTTTGCTTGTGTACAGTGCTTCGTCAGTCTTATTTCTGATTTCTTCGAGATTTTATAAATAGATGGTGGCCTAGCTGGATTGAATCAAGTCATGCTTTACCCCTTCACGCCGTCGCTCTCGCAGACATAGGCAGGGGGATACTACAATGTAGTCAGCACAGCGAGATGCACATGTGGATACACATACAAGTGGAACTCGCAAGCAAGTGGCCAACACAACTGAGAATTTCATACGGAGTACATAAATGGGAGTTGACCCCTCGGGACGATAGTTATCTGGTGAAGAGGGGACCCTGTCACGGGGGACAGGGGCACCGACAGCCCTGCCAGCGAAACAGGTGTGAGAGCAAAGTCGCTCACTGGGAATAATAAGGTAAAAGAGAGGAGAGCACCAGGGGTGGCTACTAGAATAATGGAAAGTTGAAAGGAGGTTGAAGGTATCTGCGTGCAATAATTTCTACATCAGGGGTCCTTCATAGTTATCCCGACCTCGGGAGGTTCCGAGGTCAGCATAGCCGCTTAGTCATCCTCGTCCTCTTTCTTCTAAACAGCCTTAACTCCGTGATCCACATCGACAAGCCTAATTGGATTCTGCCATCCTCAACTGGCATGTGGTGGCAGCTCATCTTCAAACCTGTTAAGCAAAGCGACACCCTAGTGCGGATAGCCACAATGACCGAAAGCTCGACTGTTGACCAAATCCCCATCTCCGATGATGCCGAGCAGAAGGCGGACAACGGGTCTGCATTGAGTGACCCGATCGAACGTCGTCGGCGACAGAATCGCATAAACCAGAGGGCTCACCGTACGTCACTTTCGCTGCAATCTATTCAACAGAGGTTAATCTTTGCCGCCAATATTTGCCAGGAGAGCGCAAGCGACTGTCATTAATTAAAAACATCCACCAGAAGAGCCTAGTCTCATCCTCAAGTTCGACCTCTAACGTCCAAACGCAAGACCATTCCTCGCAAGACCGTTCTTCGCAAGACAATCCGAAAGTCAACTTCAACCGCAGCTCCGAATTTCTACACAACACTCTGGAGAAATTCGCCAAGTCAGCGTATGAGAGTTACATACGCGGGGACCCGAGCACTGATCATCTTATGACCTTGACTAAGGTTAACGTCTTTCGAGGATTCATGCAAAATTTGCGATTAATTGGTTGGTCGGAGTACTGGATCGACCTTGATGTCATTTCGCCGTTCAGTATAGCTTCGCCACAAACGCCCCCTCACATGGACGATAACAGCCTCCTTCCGATCAGCCTGCAGCCCACTCGAATCCAGAAATCGATACACCATCACCCGTGGTTGGACTTATTTCCCTTACCTAAGATGCGCGATAATCTCATCGAAGCCGGGGATGAATGGGATGATGAGCAGCTCTGTCACGATATCATGGGGTTCTGGGGCGATTCAACGATGGATGCAGGGCTGCTAGTTTGGGGAGACCCTTGGAACGTGCAGAACTGGGAGGTGACCGAGGGATTTCTGAAGAAGTGGCAATGGGTTATTCGAGGATGCCCCGAATTGATGAACGCGACAAATAGTTGGCGTGCCCGTCGAGGGGAGAGACTAATATTCCGCTATGTTTGAATCAACATAATTTAAACTGGGAACCAGCTTTAGCAATTTACTGAGCAGACTAATATTAAGGGGAGGGGTTGTTGCATTATTGTAAACTAGGGGCTATCTATCAGAAAGTTGTATCGAAGAGCAAGTCTATAAAATAAGGGACGTGAAGCCAAACACCAAAAGTAACCCATGAGAACATCAGACGTCAAGATCATGAAAATAGTAGTCATGTCACACATAACCCCGGGGGCTGGGGACCTCATATCGGAGACCTCGGGTGAGTTTGTACTTAGGTAACATGTTCTTTCTCCTCCTCTTTAGGAATTCGCACCCAAATCAACGTGATGAATGCCGCAACCACTTCACATGCAAGCCCAAACCACCAGATGGCACGGATTCCTTTCAAGCCGATGTCGCCATCTGGTCCCTGGTCGACTTGGGTGCCGATGGCATCTGCGACCGCTGTCATGATTGCGGAACTCAAGTTCTGCATTGTCACTAGCAGACTCCCAGCACTGCCTTGATAAGAGCGACGGACATTGCTGGTGATATAAATTGACGCTGCTGCAAAAGAGAGATCCGGACCGAAGGTAACGAGGGCCACACCAGGGAAGGACAGTGCCCAGTATGACGTGTTTGGGGTTTGTGGGAGGAAGAAAACGGGCCCCAAGCCAAATGCAACCATCGCAGTGAAATAGATATAGTGACCCGGGACCACGTGAAGAGTTCGACTCACCACCCAGGTCGCGAGCACCCCGACAATAGCATTGGGGAGAAGGTAGAGTGCAACCGTGAGAGGAGTATTTTGCTGGATTCGTAACCAGAACTGAACCGCATAGAACTGCCAAGCACCCTGGAAGCCACCGTAGCCGATGAAGTAGGCAATCATTAATGGTGTAAAGCCTTTCGTCTTCCAGAGCCCATTGGGAATCAGAGGTCGCTCCACCCAGTGTTCGATGAAGAAAAACGCGATAATCAGAACAACGCCGACTGCAATCAAGGCGTACGTGTAGGGCGGCCACATTTTCACAGCGCCTTGAGTCAACCCGAACAGCACACAGATACAGCCGATTGCAATGAAGCCAGCGCCAAGGAAATCGAATTGGCGAATGCTTGGTACATCGGCTCCGACAATGTCAGCAACTGGAAGGAGAGAGGGCATGGTAAACCAGGCTGCAAGAAGACATAGAGCACAGATAATAGCATTGGAACCGAAGATCCAGTACAGATAAGATTTCAGAGCACCGCCCTGAATCCCACCTAACCAAAATCCAAAGGGCGAGGTTGCTGACATTGCAGAAAAGACTCGATTCTTCCGAAGGCCTGGCTTGTATACGCGACCAAGGATGCTCATGGACCCAGAAACCAATACCCCCACGGAGATCCCCTGCATTGCACGTACAACATAGAACAGAATCGCCGTCTTGGGGTGGATTGAGAAGACACCCACAATGTTCCAAATAGTTAGCCAAACGAAAGCCCCGATCATTAAGGACCTCGGAGGTGTCAAGTCACTCAATGAGCCGGATATGACCACAGAGAGACTAAGTGGAAGTGTGAAAGAACCGAGTAGCCAGGGAAGCTCGCTGTTGCGAATTCCAAGAGCTCCTTTGAACTCTTCTTGGGTGACTGTGATATCGGCGAGGAAAAACGAAAACAGTAGCAGGCCAGCCGAACAAACAAGAACGAAAATCACCTCTGCCGTTAAGCTACCGAGTTCAGGAGGAACACCCTGGGACTTTGACTCAGATGGAGAGCCAGCTTCCTCTTGTAGATCGGGCAACCGAGACGAACGGCGCGTTCCGATTCGTTCCATGCGGGTAGAGGGCACAGTATTGAGTTGATAGTCGTCATCCCCATGTCGGTCAGTGATGGAAAGTGTCCGCGATAGATTTTCCAGAGCTTCTCCCATGTGCGAGTCCCTTCGGGTTCTCGTAGTAGGCACTGTGTACAATTCGGGGACATCTTGAGACTCCTCGGGGTGAGAGGAGACGGATCTCCGCCTGGTCGTCTCATGAGTTGTTGCTGGCGTGAGACTCGAACTGAAAGTTCCCAATTCGTCTTCTTCAACGCGAAAGCCTTTCTTGACGCTAGCATTATCGGAATCTAGATGTGTCGATGGCATATTGTCTCAGACACTCGGATTCGAGCGTCTTCATATATGACTGTCGAGGTATGGGAGACAAACAAAAGGAGCAATTTGAAAAAAGATCGGAGGGGTATTTTTTTCTGGTGAATTGTCAATTTGTGTGTGGGGACGGGGACGTCCAACGTGATTAGCAGCGAATTTAAGGTGGTGGAATGCGGAAACCAGAATCCGTGAGCAGAAGACTATTGATCGAAATTTTCACCAGGCTCAGGTGATTTGATATGTTTGGAGGGCTGGCCCTCGACAACTCTTAGGCGAGCGTGGCCTCCAAAACTTTCGGGCGATTTTGATGATCGGGACGCTTTGGGCGGGCGCGAAGGCACATATTTTGTTGGACTGGTCTGATATCATCGAGAACTTGTTGAGAAACATTCGAAATGCTTCCCAATATCCATTTTTAAATGGAACTTGAAGCTGGGGGACTGTGAAAACAATCGAGTGACGTCTTTTGATCTGATAAATTAAGCATACAGTATTGCCGCGTTTAGCCGTTTACCAGATTCATGTTTTTATATCATCCCCGGCTGGCGTAAGCGCGGGGATAAACTACATTAGGATACAAGGATAATGTTTTTTTATTCAACCCCTATGAATTTGTTGAATCGATATACTCATATTCCAATGCTCGGTAGCTGCCTGGTTCTACTGACATTTAATCAGTGCTGTTATTGTTGTGGGTGATGACATTCACATTAAATTAGTTGAGGTGCCGTGACAAAAATATTTTGCGCAAGCTCATGCCTTCAAATCCAGTTTCTCCTTTCTTCCCCATAGCTCCAACCATTCTTTAACCGAAGCACCAGATCTAACCAGCTCATTCATGCATATATTGCGCACATAGTCACATCGAATTACCTTCATGGCGTTACGGACATTGTGGGGTGAGGGAGATTCCAGGGCCTTGGCCACCCAATGGCCGTCATGTGCGTCTAATGCTAGCACGATAGGATACGTCATCTCGCGGTTGTGCAAGTCTTCGGCTGTAGAGCCTTTCAGCTTTGCATACTCCGAAGAATAAACATTTTTACAGTCATTTTGGAGCTGCGAATGCCAGCTATATAAACGTCAAACCTAAATCCTAGCATGTATCTCTAGGAAGGGACCGACTTACGCAACCGTAGTTAAAGTTTCATCCATGGAATCATTCTCTAGGACAAGGTGGCCTAGTAAACGGAATAATGAACCGGTCTTGAGAGAGGCCATTCTTCGATATGCCGCAATTCTGTCCGCAGTGGCAGTAGGGAACGCACGGATTCCATCCCTGCGCCAAACTAGGGATATATCTTGACCTTCAAGGATATCCTGGAGATCCTGCATCAGCCATGGGGCGAGATTGGGGAAGTCCTTCGTTGTTTTGTTGAGAATCTGGGTGACTCTGTAGTAGGCGCGGTTTGCTGTTTCGGATGGGCCGTATATATTGTGAGCAGTGGGTCGTCCTTTGCGGTAATCGCTTCCGTCGGAGATCTAAGAAAATCTCTGTCAGATGGTTTATCTTAAGCCATATCAAAGAAAGTGGGAAGAGGGCTTTAGGCACTCACATCATCAACCAGCATTAGGCAGAGGTGTATAGCATCCATAATCTCCAACACCATCCGGTACTTAGGAGGATCATCATTATGAAGGGAGGGGGATAGCTTGTGAACAAACGCTATCCAATGATGCTTGCCGTAGACTTCACGAAGATATTCATAAGGGCATTCAAGTTTAGTAATTCTCTTGGGATTCTTTCGTCCGACCAGGTGGGCTTTTTTGTCCCACCACCGAGGGATGTGAATATGATCAACAATTAGATATAGGAAGCCGCTCACAACAACCATACCCAGGACAGGGCTGATCCGAAGAAAAAAATTGAACAGGCTTTCAAATAGACTCATAATGTAAAATGGATATGAATCGACTTGCAATAACGAAGAGAGCAGGATATGTGAAAGAATAATCAACGTTCAAACATCTATACTTCGAAGAATTCCTTAAATGCTAGTCCTCCTGCCCAGAAAAGTAACAAGCAAAATGCTAGATTCACAACTGACGTCGCATTCTCTGCACATACTCTGGTGTTATCTCGTTTACGCATACCAGATATATCTTAGTCGACGGCGAGTCTATGAGATTTCTGCAGGTCAACTTCAAACATAGCGAGTAGAAACGAAGAATTACTGTTTCCGGGGTTCCGAAATGTTGCATATATACCTGTGGCAACTTTTCCCTGTCTAAATATGCATGTAGGAGTTGCATTAGGGTGAAACGGGGTTTATTTTCGCATTTTGCAGGGAATATGAACACCTGCATTATACAATATGATTGTATATCCCGATTGCGATAATGCACCGCAAACATTGAAATTGCTTTTTGAGTAATATACGTTATTCAGATCCTTCAAATGTAGGTCAGATCTACGGTCATTTTCATCATAATACTGCCTCATATTCTGCCCTACTAAGCACAGAAGAAATACATGTAATTGAGAGCAGGATGACAGGGGTTTCTTTATCTTACACGGGGAGTTAATTAATAAATAATGGCAACGCTAAATGATACCATGGACCGAGAATCCCGTCATGCACACTTATGACTTACGCAGGTGGCATTTGAGGGCTGACATTTTCTATCTTATTCATGTATATGTGTTAGTTGCAATTAAATTTGAACTCATGCATAATCACCCAGTTTTGAATAACAGGGCTCGGAGAACGCGCTCATCAAGGAAGCTGTCACGGTATCTCTACCTATGCTGAACCTATATATAGGCGTTGATTTGAGGGGCCTTGATTCCGCACTCAGAATTATTTGATTCTTTCTTTTTGATCTGCAAAATTGCCACAATGGACGGATTCGACCCCTCCCAAGCTCCGATAGAGTACCAAGCTGTGAAGCCTCTCGCCGATTTATTCCTCCTCGGAGCTGCACTTGGGTGGGTGACCAATTATGTCGGGATGGTCTACACGTCGTTCAATGAAGAGACCTATGCAATGTCAATTTTGGCACTTTGTTGCAACTTTGCATGGGAGATTGTCTATACCTTGATTTATCCCTCCAAAAATCGGCTTGAACGAGGAGTATTATTCCTAGCGATGATCATCAACTTTGGCATTATGTATGCCGCAGTCATCTTCTCGCCACGAGAATGGACCCACGCGCCACTGGTCGAGCAGAACCTCCATTGGATCTTCTCCATCGGAATCATCGGATTCCTCACTGGGCACCTCGCTCTCGCTGCAGAAATCGGCGCTGCGTTGGCGTACACCTGGGGCGCGGTTGTGGCCCAGCTGCTGCTAAGCGTTGGCGGTATCTGTCAGCTTCTCTGTCGTGGAAGTACCCGTGGTGCTTCCTACGCTCTATGGTATGCAGTCCCACATTTTAGATATGTCTTTCATATAATATTATTGTCTGAAAGAGTATCGATAATCGATTGAAAAGCTTACGCTGACATATTTTAGGTTTTCCCGCTTCTTTGGATCGTGCAGCGCGATGGGGTTCGCAATTCTGCGTTGGATGTATTGGCCGGAATCATTTGCATGGCTTAGCAGTCCCCTTATACTGTGGAGTGTGGCTGTCTTCCTAATCGTTGATGGCTCTTATGGGCTATGTTACTGGTATGTTAAGCGGTATGAAAAGAGTTTTGGTACGGCACGAACAGAAAAGGTCAAATGATCTGTGAAGAATGAGGACAGTATCATATCGATGGCTACATTATTGGAAGAAAATCTGCAGAAGATAAGATATTGAAACGAATGAATTGCTTTTGTTTGAATATCTCACAATGTCACAGTACTATACTGTGGATAATGCTGCAGTAAGATATGTATCGTTCAATATATGTAGCCCTCTTCAAAATGCCATCAGGTAAATTTCAAAGATATCCTACCCGGCCTCCCATCTACGTAGACAGGAGAGAGTCTCAAGAATACGCACAGGAAACCCTTCGTGTTCCATATCTATCCAAGTCAGTGGTATTTATTTCGAGTAAGTAACAGGAGTCTACCTCAGCAGGTGCCCTCTGTCTAAATACCAGAATGAGCAAGTCAGAGTTCCAAGTAATCATTGTCGGCGGATCAATCGGAGGCTTGACTCTGGCACATTGCCTACAACGCGCCGGGATTGACCATGTTGTCCTTGAGAAAGCGGGCAATCCAGCACCCCAAATTGGGGCATCGATCGGCATTTTCCCAAATGGAGCTCTCATTCTTGATCAACTCCAACTGTATGAGTTGGTCGAGAAACACATTGAGCATCTGAGCATAGCAACCATCCGCTATCCCGACGGTTACAGCTTTCAAAGCTCTTTTCCCAAGGTCCTAAGTGAAAGGTTAGTCTTAGTTCCTCCCATTATTCCCGTGGAAGTATCTTTAAAAGTATCTTTATGGTTCTGATGGCACTGCACAGGTTCGGTTACCCGATCGCATTCCTAGATCGACAGAAGATGCTTGAAATCCTCTACCACGGCTACCCAGATCATCAGAAAATCTGCCTGGACGAAAGAGTGACAAAAATTGAACCTTGCGGTGATACGGTTATAGTGAGCACGGGCAACGGCTCTGTCTATCGAGGGCACCTTGTCGTCGGCGCAGATGGCGTCCACAGCAAAGTTCGGCAGGAAATCTGGAACGCGGTTGAGAAGGCTGGCTCGGGAGCGGCAATTGAGAGATTCGGTAAGTAACAATGAGCTGTATTATTCTCTGATTTATATGGGAACTGAACGCTGCACAGGTCTCACGGCGGAATTTCGCTGCATCTTCGGCATCTCCTCCCCCATCCAAGGATTGATTATAGGAGAGCAGGTGAATGCATTATTTGATGGTTTGACCATCATTACGATCCATGGAAAAAATGGGCGCGTGTATTGGTTCGTCATACAGAAGTTGGATCAGAAATATACTTACCCGAACTGCCCTCGCTACATGACAGGCGACATTGAAATTGCAGCAGAGGAACTGAGAAGTATAGTATTCTACAAAGACCTCGAGTTTGGGCAACTGTGGGAGAATCGTGAGACAGCCTCCATGACCGTCTTGGAGGAACACATCTTTGAAACCTGGCATCATGACCGGCTAGTTCTTCTGGGCGACAGTGCTCACAAGATAACTCCTAATATCGGACAGGGCGCCAATATGGCAATAGAGGATGCCGCAGCTCTGGCAAATCTACTGCAAAGATTACGGAAGGGCTCGGGAAGTTGGCCTCCCACAGATGGACAGGTGGAGGCTCTTTTGAATCAATATCGCAATATTCGCCATGGCCGCGTCAAGTCAGTCTACAAAAGCTCCCGCTTTTTGGTCCGCCTACATGCTCGAGATAGCTTACTTAAGACTCTTCTTGGTCGATACTGTGTACCATATGCCGGCGACTTGCCGGCGTATATCGGATCCAAATCTATTGCCGACGGGGTGATGTGTGATTTCCTGCCTCCCCCAAGGCGTGGTGGAGGCGGGTGGGAGAGATATCGGACTAAGGACTTGAATTGGGGGTGGATTCAAGCTACCTTGTATATCATCATCTTTACTGTTCTGTATACATCTATCAACCGGTATTGGGGTATGGCGGTCGAGATAAATTGATTTTGATAGGGTATAGCAGAACTACCCGCAGGCGGTAGAGCACAATAAGCCAATAAGATAGCACGAAGGCGGTGTATGTAACGACTATCCTTGGAACCTTAGAACTCAGTTCAAAAAAAATGAAGCTATTCCCACCATACAAATCTCCGCATACACCGAATTCTAGGCGTTGAAGCAATTGCGACCGTATAAGTGATTTGTGGGGTGGGGATAGCTTTAATTCAATGGTTTATATAGTCGGGGATAGTTTTTAGCGCTAGGGATTCGAAGAAATTGATGTTTTGTCGGGTGGGAATAACTTCAATTTACAGTACACGGGAGAGCGGTGTCGAAGGCGGTCTAAAATTCAGGCATATTCAGGCACCAACCCCGCAAAACTAGGCAGAAACCACAGTCTCCCACTTAAAGCACGTGAAATCTCCACCCAACCGGTGGAGATAAGATAGACTATCAGTCATGTGATTTGGGTGGGCCACCAGTTGGGTGAACTGCCCCCTGTCGCGGTTTGCTGCGGGCCACAATCGTTGCGCCATCCTCAGCTGAAGATCGCATGATATGGGCCTACATCTTCCGCGTCATAATCCACGGTTTAACATGTTTCATGCCGGGAACCGCGTATCAAGTACATCGAGGTGGTATGCACAAATCCCTCAAGTGCCCGACAAAGAATCAGCTTCTTTTCTGTATAGAGAACATCCATCGATCGCATATGCCAGGCCAGTTTGCTAGGATCATGGGGCGATCGGACCGTACGGGGATGCCTAGCGTTGATGGTGACACGGGTCATGCTCCATAAGGATGTGGATAGACATTATGAAATTAACTGCATTATATTGCTTGGACTTGTCAGACTATCTAAACTGTGCGGGGAGGTCTGAGATCTATTTGGGGCGCATATTGACGAATAATTTCAGGTGATATCGTCGAAGTTTCATGGCATTCTACGTGTTGTGCGCGTTTACCCGGGCGAAAATATATCGATATGGTTCCGGTATTAGCAATCCCAAGGATGTTGGACCTGATATGCATCTAATATGCATGCTCACATGCATGCTCCTCCATATTCATTAGGATGAGATCCACAATTGATCGTACGTCCGATTCGGTCCGCTTCGCCGGAACTGATTCTCGTTTGATGAGTGGTTCCTTTAAGATTCCTCGTCTCTGTACCTCCTCAGTCGTGTTATAAATCATGACCACCATTATGATTTCCCATCGGAGATCCATGCGGTTCTTTCTCGAGTTTGCATTTATCGCATAGGGATGTCTACATCTTGCTTCTTGGCTGCACTTGGCCCCACGCCTCCAGTCATGCACCTGAATTTTGCATGAAGCCTCCAAGAGAGCAGAAGTTCTCCGACCTTCCGGGGAGCCTGTACTGACGTATGACGTAAAAGAGAGTTTGTGATATGAAGGGTTGATTTTCTCGCAAAAAAGGCGAAGGGTTGTTTAGAACTTTCTTGAAAGACATTGAATGGAAACATGCTCGGCCTAACAACAGCAAAGATATTCGCTTTTATTTCCTATTTTCTTTCCCCGATAACATTCTTCACCAATAATAAAGCGGCTTCGACATATCACCATAGGAGGCCGGATCTCCGAAGCTTCCAAATACGCCACGCCCAGACAAATCATACACAACAAAAGTTCCAGTCAAATGATGAAAGCGATAGTGGAGCTCGCGAGATCACCGAGCCGTATGAGAAGGTATGATAGGGCCTTGCTTCTGAAACCGCATTATCTAACCTCCCTAAACTTCAGATTGTGTGCGCTCCATTAGAATACCTGCTCTCTATTCCAGGGAAAGATATCCGGGGCAAATTGATATCAGCTTTCAATGAATGGCTCCATCTGCCGGATGATAAATTGGCCATTGTGAAAGAAGTGATTGATCGGCTGCATACAGCATCGCTACTGTGAGTTCAATCGGGTTGTACTAGAAGCCGCGCTAAAACCTATGCAGGATAGATGATATTCAGGACGCATCTCATCTCCGTCGGGGACATCCTGTGGCTCATGATGTCTTTGGAATCGCCCAAACCATCAATGCAGCCAACTATGCATACTTTCTACAACAGAAAAGGTTGAGTGAGATAAATGACCCGCGCGCATTTCCTATTTTCACTCAAGCGCTCTTGGATCTGCACGTAGGCCAAGGGATGGACCTCTACTGGCGTGACGCGCTGGTGTGCCCCACGGAAGCGGAATACACCCGTATGGTTATGTATAAAACCGGTGGATTGTTTCGACTTGCAGTAGAATTGATGCAAATTCAAAGCACTACAACTACGTATGATTAGCTCAGTCGTACAATCCCGAAACTCTTAGCTGACTTGATCTAGGGACCTTTCCCGACTCGTGGAGCTATTGGGAATCATCTTCCAGATCCGGGATGACTATATGAATCTGCAGAGCGGGATTTATGCAAAGAAAAAAGGATTGATGGAGGACTTAACAGAGGGAAAGTTTTCCTATCCTGTGATTCATAGCATCCGTGCGGTTCCAGGCAACATGCAACTCATCAATATTCTCAAACAACGCAGTGAAGACAGAGCAGTCAAAGTCCGTGCCGTGCAGTACATGGAGTCAACCGGGAGTTTTCAGTACTGCCGGGAGGTATTGGGAGGGTTGATGGAGCAGGCACGAAGCCATGTTGACGAGCTGGAGATACTCTTGGGGCCCAATCAGGGAATTCGTCATATTCTTGATTTACTTGAGGTCTAACCACCAGATGTGAATCCAGGTCCATGAGTCCATGAGTCCATAGTTACATCCTAAATGAACGCATGGGGTTTTTTTCCCAATCGGCGATGGTGAACCATGGATATTGCTCATCTATTAGCTTACTTGTATATCCCCATCATACAGAGCTCGAAGTCCTTTTCGCCGAACTACCTCCAGAGCTGCTTGTACCCACGCAATTTCATGGCCATGACCAGCCCGATTCCGTAGACTATCAAGCACAGTCCCAAGCGCGGGACTAACAGGTAATGGGCCGGCTAGCAGCATGCCATCTTTCAGAAATTATTCCACAGATTGGCAAACTCGATGTGCCATAGATAAGTAGTCTCCACAAAGGTCAATGGGATTTGATGTACTCATCACTTCCGAAGCAGAACCTTGATCTAACTCGGTCTCAAGAGCCACCCAGCTGAACTTCTCAAGGTTTGTGATCCTTTCCAAGTGCTGGTACATATTGGAAAGACTCGACCAGAGCATCGTTCGCGTTGCCCATAGGAGTATCAGCGTAGCAGCGATCTGGGCGTTTTGGAAACAGAGAACGACTGGGAACAGATTGCTATCAGGCGGGATATTACGGGATATGCATAATGTCAATACTCGTACACGGCCATGATCCGCACAACCTATCAACTACATATTCACATAGAAAGCGACATTGGAATGAAAGAAAGTCGTATTGCTCATCTTCGCAAGCGGAGATATCGTTTCTTTGTATTTTCCCCGCATTTTTGTGATCACGAAACCATTTCCGGATCTCCACATGTTACCAGGAATCCCTTACCGAGCATTCCGAAATTCCGAGCATGTACGTACTGGTATAAGTTGGCTGGGAGCTGCAGGTCCCCGGGAAAAATTAATAAAACCCTAACTTCCCTTGTCATGTCTCACTCTCATCCACTTAGTATTCTCTCCATCGAGGAGACCAATTTGGCCCGTGATGTGGTCAAAGCTGCTCACCCAAACGTCGTGATCGACTTTCGGGAGATCTTCCTACAAGAACCACCCAAAGCTCAGCTCCAGGAATTTCTAGCTCTTGAACATGCCGGCCGCTTAAGCCCAACTACCCCACGGCCTCCACGTCTCGCTCTATGCCAATATGACGTGATCGGGGTGGACCGCATTCCTCAGTTCCACGAATCTGTGATCGACGTGGTTTCACAGTCACGAGTGAAACACACGGTGGTGGGGAGGGAACATCATGCCAGTTTGACTCTGTAAGAAATAATTATAGTTGAACATCCGGAGTTTTCTAACAGTTGACTAGGAGCGAATTTGATGTTCTCGTCGATAAATGCATGACATCACCATTGTTCCAGAAAGCATTGTCGGAATTCGATCTCCCTGAAGGGTTCGAGGTCGTGATTGAGCCATGGCCATATGGTGGCTTGGATCATACAGATGAAAATCGTCGTTTTTTCCAGGGCCTTTGTTTCGCCCAGGATAAACGTTCTGGCAATGAAGACTCCAATTTCTATTCGTTCCCCTTGCCCATTATCCCTGTGATGGATGCCCACACCCAAAAGATCACCCGGGTAGATCGACCCGCCACAGGCGGCAATGGTGATGGTCTACTTGAACAGACTTTCAAGCGGGATATAATTGGTCATTGCAAGTCCTCCGAATACGTGCCAGAGCTGTTGCCCGAGGGGACCCGCAAGGATCTCAAACCACTGAATGTGGTCCAGCCTGAGGGTCCGTCCTTCCGAGTCACCAACGAGTCTCTGGTTGAATGGCAGAAGTGGCGGTTTCGTGTTGCTTTTAATCCGCGAGAGGGTGCGACCATTCACGATGTCTCGTATGATGGTCGTAGCGTGATGCACCGGCTGGCAATCAGCGAAATGGTAAATTATATGCTATCCCAAACATATAGCTGGGAACTAATTGTGCTTCGCTTGCTTAGACCGTTCCGTATGCCGACCCTCGACCCCCTTTCCATCGGAAACAGGCCTTTGACTTTGGCGATGGCGGCGGCGGAAACATGGCTAACAACCTCTCACTGGGCTGTGACTGTCTCGGGGTCATTAAATATTTCGACGCCATTGTCACCCGGGAAGACGGCACCGCCCAAACCCTTCCGAATGTGATTTGTCTCCACGAACAGGACAATGGAATTGGATGGAAGCATTCCAACTGGCGTACCGGGCGCGCTGTCGTCACGCGGAACCGGGAGCTTGTTGTCCAGTTTATTATCACACTGGCCAACTATGAATATATCTTTGCCTATAAATTCGATCAGTCGGGTGGGATCACAGTCGAGGCACGCGCAACAGGTATATTGAACGTGGTCAATATCGACGCTGGTAAGGTCAGTGAATATGGAAATGTGGTGAGCGGTGGTGTTCTCGCTCAGAACCACCAGCACATTTTCAATATACGAATGGATCCAGCTATCGACGGCCCCAACAACTCAGTGGTCGTAGAGGAATCTCACTCAGTTCCAATGAATGCGGTGACCAACCCCAATGGGAACTTCTATAAAGTCACCAAGCAGACCATGGAGCGTGCATCTTGGATCGATGCCGCTCCGCAGCTCAATCGGACCATCAAGATGATCAATCCCCACATAACGAATCCTATCAGTGGAAACCCCGTGGGATACAAATTCATTCCACTAGCCACTCAGACTCTATTGGCCGATCCTGCATCGGTGCAGGCGCGCCGGGCTCAATTTGCTCAACACCACGTTTGGGTCACGAAGTACCGCGACGGGGAGCTCTATGCTGGAGGTCGTTATACTTTGCAGAGCCAAACAGAAGTCGAAGGTGTCTCTGATGCTGTCCTTCGAGGTGACTCTGTTGTTGACACCGACGTGGTGGTTTGGCACTCCTTTGGCATTACCCACAATCCTCGTGTGGAAGATTGGCCCGTGATGTATGTTGATCGCATTTTTCTTCTTTTCATTCTTTCTTCTTCTTTTCATTCTAACTCAATAGGCCCGTCGAGATTTTCCAGCTCATGATCCGGCCTGCGGACTTTTTTGTCGCCAACCCATCGCTCGATGTTCCTTCCAACAAGAATATATCGTCACGTCTAGCTGACTCGGAATGCTGTCGAAAGTCGCATATTTAGCTATTATTTAAAAAGAAGGACATAGAGATAGAGAGAGTTTTCCCTGATTCGTGTATTTCTGCATCGGCCCGCCCCGCAATACCCACCTGTAAACAACATCGTCACAGTGATTGACCTTTGCCCTTGCATTATTTATGTAACCACAACCACACCAATCGTGCCAAGCGCCCAAAACACAATGGTGCGCACCAGTCAACGATAATTTTCACTCAATGATAAATTCACGAAATCAGGTACCTTTTATATGGTATACTAATACAAATAGTACCTAAAGTCCAAGAATCTTAATATCCTTTTTCTCCACCACCCTACTAAGGTAGGGGAATAGGTCTTAACACGATAATTAAGACAGCTTTAGTTTATTTGACATCTATACGGAATATCAGGTATACAAAATAATAGGATTTTCAAATTTCTGTATAATATACATCGTCCTTCTAAATATATTTATCAAACTTCTATAGGTATTAATTATTTGGCTTTAATTTAGTGCTAGAACGACTTGACCATGAACTATTATATATTAGTACTCCTATTTGTCTCTTAATAAATTCAAGGGTTGATAAAAATGGAAATTATGATTTTTGGACTTTGGTACCATTTGTATTAGCATACTACGCAGGTGTATAGCGGCCAACAGTCGGATGCCTGATTTTAGCATACCATACATACCGGCCCGAATTTTACACTGCTGTAGACATGGTTCGTCGCTCAGCAACCCATGCCCGTACTTCCCGAAGATTGCAAAAAGTTCTTCACAGTTTGAAACGGATTTGATTGAACCTCAGGTGGGATAGCGAAGCTGGCCGACAATCATCTACTCATCGAGGTATTCATCCCCCAAAGACAGATTCCAAGGATGAGAAAGAGACATCTGAGCTTCATGCGCATGCTGCGTCTCAAAGTAAGTTGTACTCATCCCACGGTATTTGGGATCCAACGCCGATATCAACCACAACGGAGTCTGCTGCTGCACGTACTTCCAGCCTTCGTCAAATATCTGAGGCTGCTACTCCTCAGCTCTCATCTAACACTTTCTGGCCAATGTCACCTGGTACAGTGGCTGGATCTGAATCTGAAGTCTGTGAAGACCTCAGCAGCTTTTTTGAAATAGCCGGTGAATTCTACTTTGACCCTCAACCTGGATCGAATATTGCCGCCGGTGCAGATGTGGGATTGGCCTCCAGATGACACGCGTTCGCCCAATGCGCTGAACGCCTTTCATGCCGAAGATGAAGCATTGACGAGAGTCATGGCTGGTTTGCTGTGAACATTGTGGACCTTGTTATGCATAACGGTTCAATAAATTAAGCTATGAGTTCAACGATGAGCGACTTCGGTTCGGTTAAATACATTGCTATACTCGAAATTATGAAACATCCCTCGGGTATTTGCACTTCCGTTTATCCGTCACGAAATGACTGTTGTTTCGAATTGGGATTCCCCGGAACTTGGCGTGCCTTTGCCTATAGTTTTCGGCAATTCCACCAGTCGCTCTAATTCCCACGACTAGTTAATTTCCGGAAGGATTTTCTTCTTTCCGCTTTAGACTCTTACCCTCAGGAGCCTAGTATATTTCCCCTCTCTTGTGTGTTGTATCCAGACTATCGGATATGCTAGCTGCAGAAGAAGATCTCACCCGCCGGTGGGGGAAAACCTCGGATTTCCACGAATGATGCGTGCCCTCGCCAAATACTGTATACAAATATGTCCAGGCAAGCCCATTAATGAAGTTTTATTGCTCTTCATTCAACATACAAATCATCTCCCTCGATGCATTTTGGTAATATCATCAAGCCAGTGCTTTTCGCGGCCCTCGTGCACGGATATGCAAACCCTGGCAGTTGTTCAGGGGCGTGCAATGTGCACGACCCGTCGTTGATACAAAGATCATCGGACAGTCGTTATTTCCGATTTTCCACTGGCAACAAAATTTCTTATGCCAGCGCCTCATCTATCAACGGCCCATGGACTACGATTGGGTCCATCCTGCCTAGTGGGTCTTCTATCGATCTCGCCGGAAATGATGACCTATGGGTAAGCATTACCCTTTCCGCAAAGCTTGTCCGCAAGTGATCAACATATTGGGTACTGACTTCCATGCTAGGCTCCCGATGCGCAGCTTGTGAATGGTCTTTACTATGTTTATTACTCTGTGTCGACGTTTGGTTCACAGAATTCAGCCCTTGGACTAGCCACATCTGCAACCATGGATTTGGGCTCCTGGACTGACCATGGAGCAACTGGTATTGCTTCGTCATCTGCCAAGGCATATAATGCTATTGATGGCAATTTGTTCAATGCTGGTGGTACTTACTATATGAATTTCGGCTCCTTTTGGCACGATATCTACCAGGCTCCAATGAACTCGGATGCCACTAAAGTCGCGTCTTCGTCCTACAATCTGGCTTATGACTCCTCTGGAACACACGCTGTGGAGGGGTCCTACATGTATAAGTATGGAAACTACTACTATCTCTTTTACTCTGCCGGCATCTGTTGTGGCTACGACACATCTCGCCCTGCCAGCGGAGCAGAATACAAGATCAAGGTCTGCCGATCGACCTCGCCTACTAGCGGATTTGTATGTTACCCAATTTCCCGCTTTAGACACTCGCCCTAACTCTTTTCCTATCCAAGGTTGATGCATCGGGCACTGCTTGCACAAGCGGGGGAGGCACAGTTGTTCTAGAAAGCCACGGGACAGTCTATGGTCCTGGTGGACAGTAAGTTTTTGATTTCGATCGTATTCCAAACTCGAATATTAACCTGACCTTGCTCCAGGGGCGTGTTTACCGATCCTAGCCTCGGCCCAGTGCTATACTACCACTATGTTGACACTACTGTAGGCTATGCCGATAGTCAGAAACTCTTTGGGTGGAATCAGATCGATTTCTCAAGCGGATGGCCAGTGGTTTAAGTGTGTTGGTGCCTGGTTTTTCAGGCCAGGTACTGTTCTTCCCCTTTCCTTCCTCTTCCTCTCTTTGTTCTTTCTCCTCCAGTCCTCTATTAGCTTGGAATACGATCGATGGGTTGACTGGGCTTCTTGCTTTCTTTCGTGGGTAAAGTAGCTTTGCTTGGTTTGGTACATTTGCAACCAAATGCGATTGATGTAAGTAGTACAGCATTCTACCACTAAACCATAGCGAACAACGGGTATCTGTTTATCACATAGGGTGTATGCTATCATGGATTTCTCAATTTGAGATAATTCGTTCTAAAACTGAAGTTTCTAATTCAAAAAAAGCTTACAGTATGACACATCCCGGCGATTTTCGCACTCGGCCGACTGGTTCTGCCCCAAGGGGTTGCCAACAAAATGAGTCTAAATTTCCTCTCCTCAAGATTATTCGAAGTATTTTTTGAACTTCATAAATTTCATTTGCTATGGAAAAGTCATCTAAATTACCCTGCGCCAAAACCCAGGTGAAGTATAACGCGGGATGGAGACGCATCGTGCGAAATTTCAGTCCGTCGTATGGTCTCTCCCCCTTCAAAAACGTTACCGGTTTATGCTGACAGAAATATATAGATGGTTCGCGGTAACTATGGGCACTGGCATTGTTTCGGTGTTGATGGTATCGATCCCTTTCGATACTCCAGTGCTCTATTACTTGTCGATCGTCTTCTTCCTACTCAATGCGGTGTTATTTACTCTGGCTTTCATTACTTCCGTCCTCCGATACACCTTATATCCTGAAATATGGCAGGTGATGATTCAAGACCCAACCAATTCGCTCTTCTTGGGGACAATCCCGATGGGCTTCGCTACACTCATTGAGATGTGGGTGTTAGTTTGCGTGCCAATCTGGGGCGAATGGGCCAAAACATTTGCATGGGCTTTATGGATGATCGACGTGGTAGCAGCGGCTTCTGTGACTTCGTCCCTAACCTTCATTTTGTAGGTCTACAGTCCTCCACATGCCAATTTTTAAGATACTGACATCCGATCAGAATGTCTCAGCGCCATATCACCTCGCTAGATCGGTTCACTGCGGTACAATTATTGCCAATCGCAGCGACTATTGTGGCAGCGGGTACCGGCGCCGAGGTTGCTCTTATCTTAGCAGACAAGCACCATGCGATGGGAACACTCCTCGCCTCATTTATTCTCTGGGGTATGGGCACTCCGATGGCCATTGTGGTATTGGTAATATACTATCAGCGACTAGCAGTGCATAAGCTTCCACCGAGGGAACTGATTGTGAGCTGTTTTCTACCACTGGGGCCTCTTGGCTTTGGTGGGTTCGGGTAAGTGTCTTGCAGATTTCCCTTGGGCGCCCTAAGACTCTGGGCTAATACGCTGTCAGCATCGTTTACATTGGGAAGGTAGCACGGGTATTGTCGCAGGATTCCCAGTTCCTCGACCCTATCGCAGGCCACATTGCATATGTCTTGGGTGTCTTCATATCCCTCCTCATGTGGAGCTTCGGCTTGATTTGGCTCGTATTTGCCCTAGCTACCGTTCTATACAGCTCTCCGTTTCCTTTCAACATGGGTTGGTGGGGATTTACGTTCCCACTTGGGGTGTATTCCGCAAACACTATAGAGTTGGGCCTTGAAATGGACATCATGTTCTTCAAAGTCCTCGGTACCGTATGTCCATCCTGTTTTTTTTTCGTTTTCCGCTCTTCAAATAAATGATAGGTACTAACTTATTATTTGAAGATCCTCAGTGGCGCAGTGTTGCTATTATGGGTGTTGGTTGCATCGCGAACTGTACACGGAGCATGGCGCGGAACCCTATTTTATGCTCCATGCCTACAAAACCTGGCAATAAAGGAAGAGGGGGCTGAGCGAGATGAAGATCGGCGTCGGGCGTAAGACGAAAACATTGGTGAAGTCTCTCATTACCAAGCCTCCAAACACTCCACCAATAGAACAATGCGTATGCCCAGGTCTGATCCCCAGATGTAATGTATCGCGCCGGAGAACCCCGCTGACGGGGTCTTCTGTACCTGCTGTCGTGGCCAGTGAAGGGGAAGCCTAGAAGTACTCCGTATAGCTTAGGCAATTTTTGCCGAACTCGATATCTCGATTCATTGGTCGGACCTAGGGTGATTACCTTGATTACCCCCAAATGTTTACGGGGTACGATGTATTCATCCATGCCAAGCACTACCTATCAGGCGAGTAGTCACATGTTCAGCCCGTCAGCTTCGTGTTGTTCGCTTTTTCCACTCTCTTCTTGGATTATGGTCTTTTGTGATACCGGAGGCCGTTTTCTTGACTCTTTGCTATTCAAATAAGTCTTTCACGGTAGCGCTTGAGTATTGAGAATGGTAAGGCTTGGGTTCTATCTATACAGATCTATGGCCAAGCACAACTCTAAGTGAAGTCTAGGATACGGGGGAGTATGAGTTTCCCTTCTTGCAGGAGGTCTTCTCTCCTCGTGAATCGCACAAGATCGAGTATGAATACTAGGGCCCTATATTTTATACGGAAATTATTTCTAAGACCTGTTCTTTAGTTTTGTTTTCGTCCATGGCCTGAACCCAAGCGGTCGCAATGACCATCCTTTCCAGACATGGACGCATAGCAATGGCAAGTTTTGGCCGAGGGACTTCCTGGCCGAGGACATACCATATGCGCGCGTCTTTGTTTATGGATACAATTCAAGCATCACCCATCCACAGACCATGTCTACGGCTAGCATCAAGGACCATGCGAATACGCTGTTGAATTTATTGGACATGGAACGCGGCCCTCAGATGGTAAATCGTGGGACCCAACAAGCTTCATTTGAATAATCAATTAACGTATCACAGGGATCTGTTCCACCGAAAGTGATATTTATCGGTCATAGTTTGGGAGGATTAGTGATCAAACAGGTCAGATATATATCCCATGACCTTTTCCTATGGCATCTTCCTGACAGTCTATGAATCAACGGTATAGGCACTGCTCAATGCTAAAGAAGATCCAAAATATACCTCTATTCGTTCGGCAACTTCTGGTCTTGTCTTCTTCGGTACACCTCATCGTGGCGCGAAAGCTGTGGAACTGGGGAAAATTGCAGCCCGGGTTGCTCGCTTTGTCTCCAAAGGGCATGCCAGCAATGACCTTCTTAACTGCCTGGAGTTCAATTCCCTTTTTACCCGACAGATGACCGATCGATTCCGACATCAACTAGAAGATTATCGTGTTGTTAGCTTTATCGAAGGGAAGGAGGTGCAGATAGGGGGAGTTGGACCAGCATCTATCAGCCATGTAAGCAGATTTTCCTTCACTAATTATGTGTTCCCCCGGTCCCCGTATACTTTTGTCCTGGAAGAGTGACTGATATTGAAAAGCTTGTGGTTGATGAAGAGTCTGCAGTTCTTGGGTTGTCCGGGTTACGCGAAACTCAACTCAAGCTCGACGCAGATCACTCGCAGATGTGCAAGGTGAGCTCTCGGGGTCCGATGTATCGCTTGATAAAAGGCAACATCAAACAACTGGTCGATCAGGCGCTTTTGTCGGAGCAAGGCTTCATTCCCCCATCGATACCTTCAAGTACCGCGTCATCCCCACCGCCAGTCCCACCACGCCTTCATTCAAATAGTAGCACGCCATACCATGGGCAGGGCCGCCCATCTCCTTCGACACAAAGGGTGACAGGAATGATTTTCAACGCTCTGGATAATGACCCACGGTCTGTTCGCTCCGCAGAACTCAAGAATCGGGCTCGATGGGACGAAGCCCGAACCGTCGAATATGAGATTTTCCAGGAGCACTTGCGCAGCCTTGGTCCGGATCATTTCAGTACACTATCAGTGGCATACAATCTAGCTGAGGTGGAAATGGAGTCCGGCTACCTAGATAAAGCAAATGAATGGTGTCATTGGGTATCCGGAAATGCCCAACGCGTCTTTGGGACAAAACATCCCCTGGCACTGAAGACGGAAAGTTTGACTGCAGAGGTCTTGTGTCAACAGGGCAAGTACCAAGAGGCCGAGTCGGTCTGCGCCAACGTGTTGGCCCGTCAGCAAATGACTATCGGCGAAGACCACCTGGACACCTGTGACACTCGGCGCCGACTGGGAATGACCTACAATGGGCTAGGTCGCCGGGAAAATGCCGTTATGACTGCGGAAAAGCTGACAGACACCCTAAAGCGTCTGCTTGGAGAAACCCACATTCGTGTATTTGTCATTGCGTTGGATGCTTTGGAATACATCGTGAGCAACCATTCTGGGAACGAAAATACCTTAATTGTGATGCGTTTTCAACCCGATGTACAACAAGCAGTGGGTATATCGTTACAGGTCTACCAAGAGCTTCGGAATGCCTTGGGTCATGGACACCCGGTTACCATTCGCGCTCTCTGTCTCCACGGCCGAGCACAAAACTTTATGCAGCAGAGTATAGAGGCCTCAGAGACCCTGCGCCGGGCTTTGGCCAGTGCCGAAGAAACATTAGGACCCGATCATCCGCTGACATTAGAAATCGTGGGCAACATTGGCATTATGTACGCTGCGCAAAATAGCTATGCCCAAGGTTCACTCACCAACAGTCCTGCGGAAGCCTTCCCCTGGTTGATACGATATTTGAACTGGGTTGAACAGCGCAAAGGCAAAAACAACCACGAAGCGCAAGCCACTTTGGAGCTTCTGGCCAGTCTACATTTCAACGCTAGAGAGTACGAACCCGCCCAGAATTACTATGAGCGCCTCGTGGCGAATATTCGCGGGGCCGACTCAGCAATGACCGAGCGCGTCAACACTCGGCTTCAACTGTGCCGGGCGAACACCATGTACACCCGTCGGGGCCTGGGATCGGGACTAGGAGGGTTTTTGTCCAGCTTGCAGCGATACTGACGTGGTTTTATGATTATTATACCTGGATATACAACTTCGCTTTATGAATTCAATGGGATCTTTGTCATTATTCAGTCGTATTCAGTGTGATACATCTAAGTATGCTCATGATCCGTGAAGGGACATCATTTGCCTTTTGAATTTTATACACGATGAGTGGATCAGCCGATCATCATAAGGCGTTTAATGTGTCAACTTGTTGGGAATGCTCTTTCTGTATATGTAATCAATACTGATTCCCTCCATTATGATCCGCATGGAAATCATACCTAGCCTTATCCAACTGCTCATGGCCGGCATTGCTGAGCTTCTTCTCAGGGTCAAACTTGTCAGCGACGATCTTCTTCTCCGCAGTGTGAATACCTATTCTTGTTAACTTGAAGTCTTAAGGCGCGAGAATAGACATCGAAGCTCACCCTTATCAATGTATTCTTGGCCCTTGTTGCCTCCGAGCTTGTTAGCGATACCAGAGACTTTGTCCATTGTGAAAGAGTGATGATTGTGGTAGAAAAATTGTAACGGGTTACTGTAAAAGAGTAAAAAGCAACTCTAGATAATGAACGACCCTTTATAGGGATCTATAGAGTCAATTACTATGTACTACGCATTTCGTATTATGCTTAACTCTGTCTATGATAATGATTCGCTTTGGCATAGAACGCTATCGTCATTGCCGCACTCTTAAATGTGAATTTGCCCCCGCAGGTCTCAGTATCTAGTCATCTTTATTGGCATACCGCTTCCAGATAGGCTCAGATCTGAGGTCATATTGATGATCTCGATCTTGCCATGGTAGATCTAGTCCGTTGTCTAACGGCGATATTGCATATCGTGACGTCAGCGAGCAACTATCAGATTATCAGGCATTAGTTGACACCCTCATTATGAGGCATTAAGGCATACAGGCACCAATAGCTATATACCGAGGAGCCCTTGCTTTCACGGCGCTTCTCCGATCTCTCAGTTATACAACCGGCTATCAATATTCTTGTTCAACCTTGTGCGGTATTCTTTTTACACCCTTCTTGTATATTTGTTACAACGATAAGCTCACACAAAAATGTCGCATAGATGGCTCTGCAATCTATCAACCAGACTAACAACAATTTCATCAAAAGCATCATGGAGATATTGAATATTCGGCTGTGGGCAACACTCGGTGCGAGCTACCCCGAACCTAATTGCTTCCCCGCGTTTGATCAAAGTCAAAACAAACCCCCATACTATACAGCAGCCAATGAGACAACCCAAACGTCAGATGTCAGGCAATTTTTCCAAGTGCTATTGACAGAGCTCCACTTGATATGTCTATTTAATTTCTTACCCCGGAGGTTCTTGGTCAAACCCTCGGAGATGTGCCGATGCGCCGAATTAGCCAAGTAGGATGCGCGTGATCCGATTTCTTTATAACCTATGGCCTCCTCTAAGACCCCGGGAGGGGAGCGTTTCTCGTGTTAAATATATACCCGGTCTTACAAGAAACAAAGAAATGGGAAATCCGGCAGAGGAATGGGAGAAACCCGATAGCAAGGGCCTTGCCTTCGAACAAAATGCTCTTTACCATGCTTATGCTTCCAAGAGTCCAGAATGGCATCGAGATATGACCAAGCGTCTACTTCACAAGGTTGACTGGCACCTTTTACCCTTCCTTATTCTCATGTATTTGTTAAACTTTCTGGACAGAAAGTAGGTGACCCTGTTTACAGCAGCTATACATGATCACGAATCCTAATAGCTTCTTTTAGCAATTTATCACAGGCTCGCCTAGGTACACTTGAAGAAGACCTCGACATGGAAGGCACCGATTACAATCTTGCCACAAGTATCTTATTCATCGGCTATCTACTGATGCAACTTCCATCCAATCTACTCCTAACCCGTGTTCGGCCTTCGCTGTTTCTGGGTATTGCAATGGCTATCTGGTATGACATATTTCAATGAGACCGACAAGCGTTAGAATGCTTAATTTATTTCACAGGGGTGTGATTTCCGCTTGCCAGGCAGCGGTTCAGTCATTTTCCGGACTCATTGCGACGCGGTTCTTCCTCGGATTTGTCGAGGCGCCTTTTTTCCCAGGTGCCGTCATGTTAATGTGAGTTACTATAAATAAAAAAGAAGTGTGTCTGAGGAGGTTCTGACATTTACTTTGTATAGGTCGAGCTGGTATACACGACAGGAGGTAATTCAATACGCCCTGTAAAATGACGAAGCATAAAATCTAACTTACTCGCTTAGTTGAGTCATCGTATTGCATGGTTCTATGCTGGCAGCTCGTTAGCCAATGCTTTCGGTGGTCTTATCGGGGCAGGTGTGCTAGGTAATCTTGATGGCGCGCATGGCATCGCCGGATGGAGATGGCTATTCATCATCGAGGGATGTATCACAGTGGGAATATCCCTGCTCGCAGCGTGAGTCTTTTCTGTGCTTGATACGTACATTATTATGTCTCCAGACTGACTCTCAGTAGTATCTTTCTTCCAAATTATCCAGCTTCGACTCCCTGGTTAGACGAACAAGAACAAGCATATGCGCAGTGGCGCCTAATGCATGATGCAGGAGAAGCTGATGAGGTTAGCTCAACTAGTATCAAAGACGCCCTAGGTCTGGTATTTGCGGACAAGCGTATCTACCTTTTCATCTTGCTTCAGCATGTCTCGCTCCTGTCGCAAAACTTCCAATACTTCTTCCCGACTATTGTGCAGACCCTCGGATATGGGAAAGTCGAAACCCTTCTGATCACCGCGCCTGTATGGATTGCTACGTTCTTTGTCTCGCTGCTGGTGACATGGTCATCTGGTAAAACCAACGATCGCAGCCTACATATCATCTGCTTGATGATGGTCAGCATGGTAGGAGGTGTGATTGCCACTGCTACCACTAACCTTGGCGCCAAATTCTTCGCCATGTTCCTGTAAGTCCTATGGTTCCGTTATTTTTCGCATGTCTAACAGTAATCAGGATGCCCATGGGAGCTGTGTCTGCATATCAAATCATCATCGCCTGGGTTGCCAATTCCTTCCCCCGGCCGCTGGTTAAACGCTCTGCGGCAATCGCTATTGCAAATATGATTGGAAATACCGCTTCTATCTATGGTAGTTACATGTGGCCATCATCTTCGGGACCTCGATACATTCCAGGAGGAAGCGCGACCGCTGCGATAGCACTCTTTGTGGCGTTGGTCGCTCTAGTCATTCGCCTGGTGCATATTCGCATGAACAAAAGGCTGGATGAGACTGAGTCATCACGAGATATTATTTCGTCCAATACAAACGATCTAGAAACCCGGGCTGTTGGGTTCCGGTATATTCTATGATCCCGTATTTGGGGTTTGTTCTTACACACTCTAAAAAGACATGGAAGACATATAATGGATTGGCAATTTCAACTATAAAGCACACATAAGTATATAAAAGTAGATATAGGGCTCCTTTTAACGTCCGAAGAGCGGGGTTGGCATCCTTCGATTAGAACCGTCCACATTCGCCATCACAGTCCAATCAAAAGAGACCTTGGATTGTTTCCTCTTCGTTTTCCACTCCGAAATCACTACACTTCATCTTCAACTTCCTCTTCTCATTTCAAAATGGTATGATCTATATCCCACCGTGTGATCCTTTGAATTAGGCTGATTTTGCAAGTCGGGTTCATCATCTTTCACTTCAATCCCTATTCTGGATTTCTCTCAAGCGCTATCCCCATCTAAACCCGCCTTCCTAGCAAGCCTTCGCGACGCCCTAGTGAATGTTGGCTTTTTCTATCTTCGAAATGCTCCGATTTCGGACCAAACCCAAGATCGGTTTATAGAAAAGGCCCTAGGTCTTTTTGAACTACCACTAGAGAAAAAGCTTGAAATCGAAATGGTCAATAGTCCGCACTTTTTGGGCTACTCAAGGCTTGGTGCAGAAATTACGGCTTTGAAACCTGATTATCGTGAACAATTCGATGTAAGCTTGGGCTGTATTGTTTCTTCGGATATCTATGAACACTTTTGTCAGTTCGCAACCGAACTCCCTGCACCTGGTCCAGACGAGCCTTTATACAGGAATGTCGTTGGTCCTAACCAGGTAAGATCTTATATTTGGTCTTTGTGTCCGTCAATGCTCATAAAGAATTCTGCCAGTGGCCGGATGAAACGGCAATCCCCGGATTTCGGGAATCTCTCGACACATATCTGTCTGAAGTGAGCAACCTAGCGGAGTTGTTCCCAGGATTGATTGCAGAGGCCTTAGACCTTCCATCAACTGCATTCGATCAGGTCTTTGATACTCCCCAGCAACACAAACTGAAGTTGATCAAATACCCTCCCCCACCTGCAACTAGCAATGAGGATTCCGGATTTCAAGGTGTTGGTCCTCACAAAGATTCCGGATTCCTCACATTCCTTTTGCAGGGTACACCTCACCATGGCCTCGAGGTCCAAAATAAGGCTGGGACATGGATCCCCGCGCCGCCACTCCCGGGAACGTTGGTTATTAACATTGGCCGCTCCCTGGAGGCGCTGACTGGGGGTATCTGCACGGCAACGACTCATCGGGTAAGCTTACGGCAGGAGAACTTCCAAGACAATGGGAGTAATCTAGGGTCTAGGTTTTCCTTCCCGGTTTTCCAGGGAGTGAGTCTCGATCTTTCTGCCGAGAAGATCTCTTTGGATATTCCAGCTCATATCCGTGCCTTGGTGGAAAATGACAAGGTCAAATCAGATGCAGAGGCAACTTTTAACGAAATATTCCGTGGGTGCATTGGCGAGGGAACCTTCATTGCTCGGGTGACCAGTCACCAAGATGTTGGGCAGCGATGGTATCCGGAAGTCTTGATGAAAGCATTGAAGGGTCAGAAGGATTTCCTTAGCTGATTGCTGATATAATATCTATGATATGTCTCGAGATGATTGCATTTGCATATGCCTACCTAGGTGACTCTACGTAGTGTTTTTCCTCTGCCGGGTGGGGCTTTCCTATCTTGGCTAGCTACAGTGACACAGCAAAAGTCTTAGCACCCCAAATTCTGCCGGTCAAATACCCACCAATTAAAAATGAGGCAGAACGAGCGGTATCACAAAATCAGAAGGCGGTCTATTCAATTAAGAAGGCGGTAGCAGAAGGGGTGTTCAGACTTTTGCTGCGTCACTGTACCTCAAGTATAGTAATTGATGGTTGGAGTCGTTGACGACAGATCAAGGCAATTATTCTGGCTTTCATCACCACGCAGATTCTCGCTATCAAAAACATTCCTGTTTCTCACAGTATACTGTTCAACTGTAGCTTTCACTAAAACTCATGCAGAATCACATTTCATAATTATCGTCGTTGACGCTCACCACCGAGGCAGGTACCTTCCCCTAAGATTTTGTCGTGAGCTGTGCCCTTTCCTTGCCCACTTCATTCTTCCAACTCCCTCGTTCAAAGCCCGCAAATCACTTGTTGCCCACAGCCATGACATCCCTGTTTACTGATGTCGCCGAAAGTGCTATTGGGCTCCGCAGAATGTCCCAAAGCGGCGCGGTTGTCCCTGCTCGTCCTTCCCTGCTGCAGGGTCTCCCCGCTGGATACGCTGTGCGGGTTTTTTCCCAACTCGAGCGACTCCAAGCCGACGCGGGGAGGATCCTACAGTTGCTCCAAGAAAATAAAGATGGAAACCAGTGGCTCGTTGTCCTCGGTCTGTCGACATCAACAATCCGAAAATTGGACGACGACCACAGTAGTCTGGGAGGCGTGGAATACCGCTTCCAGTGGGAAGGATCTACAGGCGTCATCAAGGTGGTCCCATCTCATACCCACGACATGACCACAGATCAGGTCACCAGGTCCATCGACGACAGACTTTCTGCAATGAGAATCCGTTCCACTAATAGGAAGTGGGCTGCAACTTCCACCTACAAACCCACCCCCACCAAAGGCAAGCAGGGCGATCAAGCTTTTATTCCACCATCTCGGTGCCCTTCCCCCCAGCGACCCGCGGGCTGGCCCACCTTTGTTATCGAGACTGGTGTGTCCGAGTCCCTCCCTCGACTCCGGGAAGACGCGAAGTGGTGGCTCGCCGCTTCGAGTGGGGATGTGCGGATCGTACTCGTTATCAGTATCAAGAGGACCAGCGTCTACTTTGAAAAATGGCAATTGGCTCCATCGAATGCTCCGCGCCCTCTCACCCGGGCCTACATCGATACCCTACGCCTTCAAGGCCCCCACATACCCCCTCTCTTCCAGCAGCCAGCAACGATCCAGCAAGCATACTCTGCACACGAAGTTGAGGTAACCCCCACTGGGATTGAGGGGACTCCTATGATTCTCCCGTTTGCTGCGTTGTATGACCGAGACCCCGGACGTGGGGAAGTTGATGTTGTCCTCGATCCTCAAGACTTTCGGGACATCACCAGTATCCTATTTTAACACCTGTTAGTTTTGCTACATGGTTGGTTAACTGTTTACCTCGTCTCCACCTTGCTGTGATGACAAATTTGTACCACACAGGTGCGTTCCCAACATGCTAGGCCCATATCATTATCCACACTACAGGGCCTAGTATCAATCTTCCTTCTCCAATATCGCCTTCCAGTTGTCACGCTCCGAGCCGAGCTTAATCAGCTGGGACCCTTCTTTAGCTAGTTAACTAACTATGGTATCACCATGAACCTTTTCAGAGATCACCTGATCTGGCTTACTTGCTCAATTTACTCGCTTACTGTGTGCATTGTTTACATTAGATAGATTGTTTGCTGAATTGCTAAGCAAGATATTTGAAGTTTGCACTGTTTGCAAAGGGATAGCTATATCAAATATTTGGTTAGTGTACAGCTAACTAAACTCCAACAAGGGTTGCGAGTCGGCAAACGCGCGCGACCATGACCTGATGCTTTTCACTTCAAGCTCAATACAACCAACACTAAAGCGAGCCGGGAAATACTGTAAAGAATGGTTCTTCATTGCTAGGGATGAAACTTCAGGCACTGTACGGTGATTTAACGTTGAGTCAATCATAGCGGAGATGGTTAGAACAAAATACATGGCCCTTTCATTGCCGATTGAATATCTCCCATGCACCACAAAGCCTCAATTTTAGACGAACGTGAAAATTCGACAGCCAGCCAACCAAAAATATCGCTCCATAGTAATGGATAGTTATTCTGTGGCGGAGCGATTGTTTCTGTCTGACATTTGCGGCATCGATTGCTGTCTGATATTCAAGGCCGCTATGAACTGTCGGTGTTCCGTATTGTGTAATGTATGGGTCTAATCAATGGTATTCGACTCTCTGTATTGCACTATTCTGGCAATTTATACTACCATGATTACATAAGGAATATTACAGCATTGGTAGGATTAATAAATCTTCCGATATACCGGCGTATCTACGCCGAGATGAACGCGCGGCGGCTGGATAACTTCTTCGTGATAGATTAGACCTCGCCACGGCCCACGTAGCCCATGCGCGGGCAGGTCAATGGTTCAGCCCGCCCGTAAGCCGCCCATCAACCGCCCATCAGCGCACAATGTTCCCAAATAGGATGTATGAATCGCTCATTCTCGATATCACAGCTCCCATATAACCATGGCGGTCTGAGTTGGTCAAAACTTGAGAGAAGATGTATTGAAATGACGGGTTATAACGCTAGAGCCCTACCACACGGTGACTTGTCATGTGGTTTTTTGTTAACACCTCAGCTTAGCTTTCAGATCCGCGGGCGAAGAGTCCAGAAGAATCTCGCGTAAGGCGCCCGCGTTTCATTGCGTTTTTCGGGGATTCTTCTTCTGAACTAAGCTGTTCAGGGGGGGTCTGAGCTCGACGACGCTTTCGCGTACCTGGTGACAATGGCTCATCGACGCCTTGGTCTAGTAGCTGTTTCTCATGTTCTGCTTCGGCAGACGAAAGAAAGTCACAGAGCTCCCTCGATGAGATATGGATATCTTGATCGAGATTGGGGTATTTCTGTGAGATGCTCTTAGGGGCAAAGTCCCTGAGTGAAAGCTGGAGCGCTGGTTGTTTAGAATCATCGACTGGAAGTCCAGACTCCGTTCGAAAAGGCTGCAAATCGTCGGTTAGTGCTAAAATTTCTTGGGACTGCGGCTGAAAAGGAACGTACCATCATATCGATCACAGCCTTTGCTTCGAGTTCCTTCACCCCATCCACGGTTATTTTGTGCGGTCGCCAAATGGATATAGTCGCCTTTTTAGACCCTCTATATTCAATATTGAGGGCAATCACAGCGTTCACGCTCGTATTAGTGTCGAGGATGTAATCATCTGCTAAGTCCGCAGCAGCTCGAACTTTTTGTGAATAGCACACTTCTATGATAACACCGGGATATTTGGCATATTCGTGTATAAATGATGCATCTGGGCATCGTTCGGAATAAGTCTGCTCTGTATCATTTATATCATTCGGCAGCCGGATTCTGGATGTCGATAAATGTTTGGTCTTTCTCGCAAAATCACCGAAGGCTTCATCACTCTTTTGCAACTCTGTCAATCGATTCAAAATTTTAGAGACTACCTCGGCACAAAACAAATCATGTAGAGGACTCGGCATTCGGATAGTAAGACGGGACCGTCTGGGGTCGTAATCGAGCCTATAATACAACTCAACAAACATGCCTTCAATGCGCCTGAAGATGGACAGTACTTACCGTATTTTGTCTTCTACGTAACCTCGAAGAGATTCGTCACCATCCAGTACACGTAAAACCTCCGTATATTGGTCCGGAGTGAGCCGGTGTTGCCACCAAGATTGTGGCCGTCGACCTTTACGGTGGAGTTTGAAATAGTTCAGCACGCTTTGTGCACTAGTCGACAACTTCTTCTCTTCTGAGGGCGGGGGTGTAGGGGGAGTATTCACAAAACTCCCAGTTGGTGTGGTTTTCTTCTCCATGAGGTCTGATTCTGATTCAGGCGACATCCTTGGGGTACGGTTTGTTTATGTCGCAGAGAAGGGGCTAAGCGCCGGATGAGTTGAGGTGTCACGTGATGACGTGGTTGCAGGGATGTCGTGTACAACGTAACCGCCTTGGAGGGCCCCTATTAGGTGTGTCCCACCAGTGCGATGAGGTCCACCCAGGCGTCGAGCAGGCCTATCGAGTTGGTTCTGGGGGAGAAGTGCAAGTGTCAAGGCGTAAACAACCTCGTCAGTGATTTTAGGCTCAATGTTGAGCTGAATGGTCAGTGCGGTGGCTGGAGCCTGACACTGTTGTTTTCTTTTTTCTCGATCTTTCTATCGACTTCGACGTGCCACGACACTCATTAATTAGCTTCAAATGATGTTTCTCAATTCCCAAATGGCCAGTTCATATATCATTGAGCCCTCATGTTTGGATGCTCTTTCGAACCCCAAATAATGATGTTAAGCAAAAAGGCGACCCATCGAGGTTACATAATGGTCAGGTGATGCTCAGTGAAGTGGACGTGTTTGATGATTATGTAATGCCCAGGGGCGTGCTCAGTTCTACTCAGTGAGCAAAAAGCGGCAAGGACTGAGCACTAAAACGGAAAGGGAAAGCCAAGAAGTGGTAGAGGAAATCTACTACTCCGTACATAGGCTGGGATTAGATGACCTCCGGAGATTGGTGAGAGGAATGGGGATCGGGATATTGAGCAAGAGTGAGACTCTCAGTGGCTGTAAATTTAAGACCTTGAGAGAATATATATTCTGTCACAAATGAGGGAAATGTAAGGAGAACCTTGGAAGTTCATTCAAGATCGTGATCAAAGGGGCCAATGCCCAAATGTCTTGGCGGATCTCCAATTCCCATTTCTCTCCACATCTCTCTTCTTCTCTCCACACCTCCTCTTATCCAAGATGCCACGCGCCGTCCGAGGTCAGCTCCTTTTGTTTTCTGCTTTTAAGATCTCTTGCTAACATTTTGTGTCCTTGGTAGGTCTGCTGATCGAATGCGATCCCTCGATCAAGTCAATGATCCTGAAGTACGACGAAGAGCGACATGACTACATAGTGGAGGATTTGGATGACGAGAACCACCTGGTCATCAAAGAGAGCCAGTTGCAGAACCTCAAGGTTCGCCTAGATCAGGTACCTACTGCACCCTAGCTATTGCCGGGCTATCCGAGGACTGTTACTCATAGACTCGCCAGGACCTTGACGAAAAGATCATGCAGCTGGATGAATCCGGATCCGAATAAGGCTGTAACCAGGTATTTCTCAATGAAGACGAGGCCTACACACGCGACGCAGAGGCAACCGGTCACCATATCCAAGTCCATAACGCACCCGCCAAACACCATCTCCCACCGCTTGTTACGAAAGATCGCATCATGACTTCACCCGTTTACAATGGTTGAATGCAGTCCGACCGCCCCTCTCAATCACCCGCCCTTTCTCCGACCGATAAGGCTTGGCCACTGTCAATGATAGTGTGGGGGCTGTTTTCAGGCAGCGCAAGAGAGGTCGGAGATTGTGCAACTCATCGAGGCTTGTCATACTTCACGGTGCTGTACATCCCAGCTCCGGGCCGTGCTGGCTAGTAATACTCTTGCAATGAATGGAGGCGTGTGGCGTGATCGAATGTTAGCGAAGCACATCATCCAAACCATCGGAGAAACCCTTACTCCGACAGGCATAACCATGGACCCCGTATATAGTGTAGATGTCACTATCTAGTGCCACATTCTGCTACACACTCATTGGCACATTGGCACATACACTGTAATCAGTCAATTACGTCTTATTGCATAAGACAACAGTCGCGACCGTCGACTGATGTCAACACCGGTTACACGGCAATGCTAGAGACAGCGTCTTTGTGTTCCTTTTCTGTGTAAGGGCACCTGGTTTCGAGTGCATCATGGCTATATAAGTCCCTTATGAACGCCCGGGACATCCAGCTTCCCTCTCATGAGACATAACCCGCAAATATCAGCTTCAATATAAAATCACGTCTTTCAAGTCACCCAACTTCCAACTCACAACATGTCTGTTCTCCGTACCAACTTCCCCGGCTCTGGCGACTTCGCCCCCCTCTTCCGTCTTCTGGACGACTACGATGACCACCGCTCTGCCCGCAACCAGGCTGCAGTTCGCTCGTTCTCTCCTCGCTTCGACGTCCGTGAGAGTGAAGGGGCATATCACTTCGATGGTGAACTGCCTGGCATCTCTCAAAAGGACATCGATATTGAGTTCTCCGACCCCCAGACTCTGGTTGTCAAGGGCCGCACTGAACGCGACTACGAAGACGTCGAGCCGCCAGAGGAAAAGGAAGGCTCTAAGGACGACGAAACCAAGTCCACTCACCGGTTCTGGGCTAGCGAGCGCTCGGTCGGATCGTTCCAGCGCGTCTTCACCTTCCCGACTCCTGTCGACCAGCACAATGTCAAGGCCAGCCTGAAGAACGGCATTCTTTCCATCAACGTGCCCAAGTCCACTGCTGCTTCTTCCAAGAAGATCACCATTGAGTGAACAGTCACACCCGTCACATAAACGAGCCAGAACTATCTTTGGCAATCGTATTGCATGGGAATCGGACTTAATTGGTCTGGGGCTATTCAACTCAGAATGTATTAGTCTATCTTGATTCAAATTCCATATTGTTCTATTTTTTTTTTGGATATTCCTTATGCTCCGGGGCCTCGGCACATGCAAATCCTATGATACGCAAAATGCAATATTAAGATAAAACAGAATTGAATCACTTTGATCACATCAACTACTTCAACAACTACTTCAACTGCTTCTTCAAATACACGTTTTTGTCTGATCAAAGGTCGGGTTTTCTGACTAGATCAAAGTAGAAGTAGAATTAGAATCAAGCCTAGCAGAATTAAATTAATGCCTTATGTTCAATGGCAATAAGGTCTTGACTCGTGAAGCAGACGTTACTGTGACATCATCATAACACTTCCATTCAGGAACAGAATAATAATAAGACTCAATGATCATACTCCTCAAAGACCACAGTTTTACTAAAACAGAAAATGTATGAGTATCAAAGCGAGGGTATTGTGTCGGAGGAAGGTGCCAATCCGTTCCTCGAGCACCTTCCCTTTGATACGCCCGTCTACAGTTACGATCGACAGTGCGCTATAGAGAGTCTCTTCCCTCCATGTTCAGGTTCAGTCGAGGATCGCTTCGTCGTTTTGAAAAATTTCCCTCCAGACGCATTCTCCCAGCACGAAGAATTACCGCGGCTTTGCGATTATTCGCCATTATTTCGGATCCTTATCATCAAAATGCCGGGTGGACCACATGAAGACGCGGCCCTCCAATTTAACTACTTGATTATGACACTCGCCGAGAATATGAGCGTCCGCAGACTGGTCAGGCCGTGGGGATCCACCAGAGTCGATACCCCGGACCGGCGAAAACAGGCAGACAGCGGATGGGGGCCAAGAGGGCCACCGAGACAATTCCCAACCGTAGCCCTCGAAGTTGGCTTCACCGAGACCACAGCAAAATTAGAGAACGATATCGCCTGGTGGATCAACGGGTCAGATGGTGATGTGACAATGGGAATCACTGTCGATATCAAAGGTTCGGGCTCTATTGAAATCAAAACCTGGACCCCAGGTTCTGAGCCGCCATCCCACCCGAACTACACCACAGCAAGCGGTCGCCATGTGGTCGACCAAGGTACTTATGATCCGCCTCCACCTCGAGTCGCCGAGAGGGTCCTCCTTAAGAGGGGGCGTAATGGCGCTCCTTCTACAACGGAAGGGAACGGTATAACCATACCATTCCGTGATTTGCTGTTGTCCGAACCAGGACAAGGCGAGAGCGATTTCGTCCTGACCTCCCAAATGTTACTTGAAGAGGTGGGAGAACCCGTTTGGGATACAATGGACCAGGTCGAGCGGACCAAGGCCTCGAAGAGAAGTTAGGATGGTTGTCACGTTTTGCCGAGGTCCCCCGCTGTGTAATCACAGCCCTTTGATACTCCGTGGCTCTCTTTCTCTCCCTCAAACCAAACTCCAAAAAAACATTCATCGTTCTCCCTCGAAACATGGCTGAAAACTACTCTTTCAAATATTTCACCGTTAAATTTCCCACCGACCATCAATATGTGGCCCACGTGGAAATCAACCGTCCGGAAAGGTTGAACGCCTTCATCGAAGTGTAAGCGCTAGTTCCCCCAGACTTACTGTACATATCTTTAACAAATCAAAATCAGTATGTGGGAAAACATGGCCAAGATCTTCAATAAACTTTCCTCAGACCCACACGTGCGCGCAGTCGTCCTCAGCGGCGCTGGAGCGAAGGCATTCACCACAGGGCTGGACGTCAAGGCAGCCTCGGAGGGTCTCCTATCATCAGACGACACCAAGACCGACCCAGCCCGAAAGGCAGTCGCGTTCCGTCGCCACATCAGCGCCTTCCAAGACTGCATCACGGCAGTAGAGCGCTGTGAAAAGCCCGTCGTGGTTGCTCTCCACGGGTTCTCATTGGGACTCGGCATTGACCTATCCACGGCGACCGACGTGCGTCTCTGCGCTCGGGATACCCGGTTCGGCGTCAAAGAAGTCGATATCGGGCTTGCGGCAGACATCGGTACTCTCAGCCGTCTGCCCAAGGTGGTCGGGAATTACGGATGGGTCAAGGAGGTGGCGCTGACGGCGCGCGAGTTCGGCGCTGAGGAGGCGCTCCGGGTGGGTTTCGTTAATGCGGTGTATGATACCCGTGAAGCTACTATTGTGGCTGCGTTGAAGCTCGCATCCCTCATGGCTAGCAAGAGCCCCGTGGCTGTGCAGGGTACTAAGGAGATCTTGAACTACTCGCGCGACCACTCTGTGCAGGATGGACTACGCTATACGAGTGTGTGGAATAGCGCTGCTTTGCAGACGCAGGATGTCTCGGCAGCTTTGCTGTCTGGGTTGCAAAAGCGTACTCCGACATTCGAGAAGTTGTAGTGACAAATTCACCCATGCCCACTGTATATAAGGTCAAAACATCTAGTCTGCTAATATTGAATGTCATCATTTTTTACAGAAACTCAAAACCCCCGTGCGTTTGCCAAGGAATGCCAATATCATCACATTTGACGTGACACATACGGAGTTATCCCGTACACATGAAACTGTTTCAGGGTAAATTTCCGGCATTTTATCCAAAAGCCTTGTTATTTCAAGTCCGTGTCTGAGTTTCCATGAATCAGAAGCATCGATCAACTGGTCGATCAACGGGTCTCCGCATTCCAGCCCTCCCCTTTTCTCCGAAGTAAAACTCGAGAGCCCACTGAGGATGTCACTTTTTCCACGTATCCAAGCCATTGCTGAACATGGCAAAATGTATAATTTCGAAGAAACTGCCAATTCTATAGAGAAAATTCAGTCTGACTTTCCTTTTCACTAAAAAATTCGCCCTATTCCTCTCGCCATGAAATCTGCTATTCTTCTCTCCGCGGTCATCCCCAGTGCGCTAGGTGCGACCATCTACCTCGCTGGTGACTCAACTATGGCAAAGGGTGGGACTGGATCTGGCACAGCGGGTACGTGTTTTCCTTGAAGCTTCCGGATAGCATCATGCTAATACTCCCAGGTTGGGGTGAATATGTTACGCCCTATACCTCACTCACCGTGTCCAATCAAGCTGTCGCCGGCCGCAGCGCACGGTCATACACGCGTGAAGGTCGGTTCGATGCAATTGCAGCAGTGGTTCAATCAGGAGATTGGGTGATCATCGAGTTCGGCCACAACGACGGTGGCTCTTTGACTCCCACCGACAACGGGCGCACCGATTGTTCTGGCACAGGAAGCGAGACTTGTAGCACAACCTACGACGGGGTCGCCGAGACAGTGTTGACGTTCCCGGCATATGTCGAGAATGCCACCAAGGTGTTCAAGGCCAAGGGTGCGAATGTGATCATCTCGAGCCAAACACCCAACAACCCCTGGGAAACTGGAACCTTCACCTATGCCCCCTCGCGGTTTGTGGGCTATGCGCAGGTGGCAGCTGCAGCCGCCGGAGTGCCCTATGTTGACCACGGGGCCTATGTGGCCGACCAGTTCCAGACGCTGGGCCTGACTGCTGTCGATGCCTACTTCCCCTTGGACCACACGCACACCAGTCCTACCGGTGCATCGGTAGTGGCCCAGGCCTTTTTCAAGGCTGTGGTTTGTGGTGATGTTGCGCTGAAGAGTTCCCTGACCACCACATCTTTCCCTGGTTCGTGTCTCTAAACGAACAGCAGAGTAGCAAGTACGGACCCGTGCAATCTGAGCTTATTTTGTGACTATGATTGCGCTGCCTGTAGAGAGAGATAACAGAAGATTGCGTGGCTTCGGCTGGACAACTATATCCAAGAGAAATTGTAGATTGGGTTCCAGCCCAATCTGGCTCATGAGCAGGTAAATCCGTAAGGTTTCGCAACAAGGCAGGAACACTGAGATGTAAAGCTCTCGTTGGGAATCCCAGTAGGTTCAATTTCATTCCTCCAGAATAGACCGAACGATGCCCCGGTTTTCGACTCGGTGATAATATTGATTCACGTTCACAAAACGAGCATCAAATGCACCCTGGGTCTGTACAATCTCGCGCAGAACTGGCCATAGAGAGCAATCGTCGATGGTAAACACGGAGCCTCCTAGGTAATGTTTTCCCTGCAGAGTACACTCCCAATCCTCAATCCCGTATTCAAACCCACTGGCTGGATTGGTGGCACAGTGCCGACGCCAGCGTGCCAGAAACTGGTCGATCGTTGGCAATAAACTGCCCCCGCGTAACGAATCCACGCCTGGCCGTAAGGTCTCAGTGGATCGGTTAGCCATGTGCGCTAGGAAAACGGAGTCGCCCGCGATTATTTCTCCATCACCCGTTTCATATATTGGCAGTGTCGTTGGATCACTATCTCTAGCTCCCAGTTGCTCATGGTTGGTGATCAATTGATACCGGACGCCGTTTTCCCCCAGACAGAGACGAACACGCAAATTGGCCACAAGATCACAGCCAAGTAATAGTTGGCCTGTTGCTGTAGTCACAAAGTTGACCACGTCAAAGCCTTCACCGTAGACGGCATCCCAATCGAATTCGGTGGCACGATTTTCCTGGCCAAAAGCACCAATGAGACGTGCAGTTGCAGCAGGATCCCCGTGGACCACAGCGCGAGTGTGATCCAATTTCTTACTGACAGCCCCTTGTCCCCAGATTGTGTTGGCCACAGGGTCGATGAAAGTGCCAATATGACGGAAAGTAAGGGAAATGCGCTGGCCGCCGTAGGCTTGCTCCTCGGCAGATTTAGTTGGATTGGGCCGTTTGTCGGCCCGGATTCCATGAAGCCATCGCATGTTTGTCTTTGGGCCGAGAACGAAAAGTGACCCGTGAGGAAGAGGCACGCGCTGCGTTGTCCGACATGGTTCAATTTCTCCATCAGGCTCAGATGCCGAGGTCTTGGTACGGAGAACCATCACGCGCTCGGCGCCTAGACTGACGTTGCAGATGAAAGACCCTCGCACAATATCCAGCGTCTTATCTGAGTGCTCTGATATACGATCCTGTCCATCACGGTAAAGCTGAATAAGCACATGATTCAAGGGGTGGCCTAGTATTCGCTCGACAGCTATGCGGACTTCATCAACCGCGGAGGTAAATGGCTTGAAGGGTGGAGACTCGTCTGCCGGATGACGGTATATGGGTATGGCTCCATCGGGTCGAGGTTGACCCTGGACTGCGACCAATCGGGGAACCTGACCCGACAGATGGTACATCTTCTGCCAATCTACCTCGGCATGTATACGCTCAAAGGAGTCTGCGGCCAAGTTAAGATTGTTCACGAGGCGCGAGTCGCCCTCCCCGATGTTATTTTGGGATGTGGTTGGTATTTCCGCGGATTTTGAAGGTGTTATCGTCCCATCGGGGTCAGCCCGAGGTCTGGCTGAAGGTTCTTTTGGACCTTCCCGGCGCTTCGGACGACGGGCACGCACGCGGACCTTCTTTTGGTCTTCTACTGGACCCCGCGCCTGCGCAGGAGTAGCGCGCTGTGCGCGAGAAGAACGAGCAGGTTCGGGGCCATCTGTGGGAGAGGTGTCCGCAGTATTCCAGAATTCCAGACCATCCATGACGCTCTCGAGGCCAGCCGTAGCGGCTGACCTCTTAGACTGCGGTGCGCCTTGGCGGGCAATTGTCTCAGTCTCATCCCAATCTAGCTCCTGAATGAGCTCCCGAGCGGTGATACCAGTCGCTCCCAAGATATCTGCCATACGTCGCATTGCTTCTTGATGCCGCTGAAAATCGCGGAAACCCAAGCAATCCTCCACAAGAGTTACTGAAAACCCGTTGCGGACAGCATCCAAAGCGGTCGCAAACACAGAGACATTGGACAACGAGCCACAAAGATACAACTCGGTCACAAAGTGTGTCCTGAAGGATAGCACAAGGCCGGGGGACTCCAGGGCGGAGTAACCTGTTTTGTCGACTACAATGTCATGCTGGGCGTTGATGGCGGCCAGAATCGGTGCGGGGAACTGATATCCCGGGGTATGCGGATCACAGCATAGCGAAGAGTCGGCGGAGAGAAAAGCTTCCTGGTCAACAGGTTCTGGCGAATCATGGTCCGACGCAACTTCAATTATATCCGAGGTGGGCATCTCCTTTCTGCGGGGTGGCTCTCTGTCTAGCACAATGCGATCACCAAAGTTCCAGTCGACGATAGTCTGAGGGGATTCATATCGTGAGCGCACCCAAACTACATCGCCGACTCGACGGAATGCAGATGCCAGCTGTGGAAGGGTCTCGAGGATATCTGGTGTATTGGGGACATGTAAAGCCCCGGACGGACGGACAAAGTCATTTTGAAAGTCAAGTAGTAACAAGGCCTTTCGGGTCTGGATGGTGGGCAGATCCCCGAATGAGAAGACACTCATCGTATAGACATGGTACGCCCAGGACTAATTGGACAGACCAAACAATACCAGTGGATATGAGGATATGCAGAGAGAGGGGAGGGGCGGAGAGCCTGGAGGCCTGAGGCAGAAATGGTACTTTGGAAGGAACGATCGTCGAAAAAGTCGAGGCAGGTACGAATCACGTGTACGAATATAAAAAACATAGAAAGTCTGGACCCTCACGGCCTCACGTTGATATTCTGCTATTTCCGGAGATCACGCCTACTCCGGGGGAGATATCGGCCAGCCCATGAGACGAACCGTAAAACAATCTAAGACAATGAGCCTATCTACGGAGTACCGAGTATGCGCTGGTCGCACTGGGAAACGCAATTCATGACATAATAAATTCCTATCCTCCAATCAGGACACCCGCCGGTGTCGGTGTGGATCTCCGGGGAGCAAGGTCTGCTCTCCGGTAATTTTCTACGGTGACTCGAATCGCCCAGCATATTTGCCCATTATTTAAATTCCCAAGCTTCCCCATCCAACTTCTTCTTTTCCACACTCTCCTCTCCTCCATATCTTCACAATGGCTTCTCGTGGTCTTCCCCGTGCCCTCCGCCTCGCCCGCGTGGCCGCTCCTCGCTCGGTCATCACCGCAGCCCTCCCTCGCCCTGTCATCGCTGCCGCTGCCGCTATTCCCCGTGTCTCCTCGGCCGTCACCTCCGTCCGTGGTATCAAGACCATTGACTTCGCCGGTGTCAAGGAGGACGTCTACGAGCGTGCTGATTGGCCCCAGGAGAAGCTCCAGGAGTACTTCAAGAACGACACCCTTGCCCTCATCGGTTACGGCTCCCAGGGTCACGGCCAAGGTCTGAACCTCCGTGACCAGGGTCTCAACGTTATCGTCGGTGTCCGCAAGGATGGTGCCTCATGGAAGGAGGCCATCCAGGACGGCTGGGTCCCCGGCAAGAACCTGTTCGATATGACCACCGCCATTGAGAAGGGTACCATTATCATGAACCTGCTCTCCGATGCCGCCCAGTCCGAGACCTGGCCCACTATCAAGCCCCTCCTCACCAAGGGCAAGACTCTCTACTTCTCCCACGGTTTCTCCCCCGTCTTCAAGGACCTCACTAAGGTCGAGGTTCCCAAGGACATCGATGTCATCCTCGTTGCCCCCAAGGGTTCCGGCCGTACCGTTCGCACTCTCTTCCGTGAGGGCCGTGGTATCAACTCCTCCATCGCCGTCTTCCAGGACGTCACCGGCCACGCCAAGGAGCGCGCCATCGCCATGGGTGTTGCCGTCGGTTCCGGCTACCTCTATGAGACCACCTTTGAAAAGGAGGTCTACTCTGACCTCTACGGAGAGCGTGGCTGCCTTATGGGCGGTATCCACGGTATGTTCCTCGCCCAGTACGAGGTTCTCCGTGAGCGTGGCCACAGCCCCTCCGAGGCCTTCAACGAGACCGTTGAGGAGGCCACCCAGTCCCTGTACCCCCTCATCGGTGGTAACGGTATGGACTGGATGTACGCTGCCTGCTCCACCACCGCCCGTCGCGGTGCCATTGACTGGTCCAGCCGCTTCAAGGACACCCTGAAGCCCGTCTTCAACGACCTCTACGACAGCGTCCACAACGGCACTGAGACCCAGCGCTCGCTCGACTACAACTCGCAGCCCGACTACCGCGAGAAGTACGAGAAGGAGATGCAGGAGATCCGCGATCTCGAAATCTGGCGCGCCGGCAAGGCCGTCCGCTCTCTCCGCCCCGAGAACCAGAAATAAATAATACCTTGATACCCGTGGGGGTGCAAAAAATGATGATGTACTATGAACTGTGTTTTTTGGGTTTCAGGTCGAAAATATTATTTTGAGGCTTTACCGGCCATTCCCCAGTTACTTTCTTTTCCATTCCGTAGCTTCTAGATTGTTTCTGGCGGCTCACACCTGCAGCTGTAGATCAATAGACGCCGAAGCCCGGAGAAGAATCCGGGGTAAGATAAGAGTCATTCTACGTCTCGTCTGTTTCTCCTCCTAAACCTCTTCTTCAGCCTCTTCTCCAGCCCACAATGACACCTGATGTTGCAGTTCAATCGCTTACTCCGGCCGCAGTTGAAGCGGCGTATAGGCTCATCCAGCCTTACGTGCACCGGACGCCACTGCTGACATGTAAAACACTCGACACAATCGCCTCAACACCGCAATCCCCCGAAGCCTTGGTCGGAACGCCATTTGAAGGCCAAACTCCCGCTCACCCACAAATTCGATTCTTTTTCAAGTGCGAGAACCTTCAGCGAATTGGTGCCTTTAAAGCACGTGGTGCATTCCACGCATTGCTGCGACTATTGGAGGAGCGCGGGGAGGAAGTCAAACGGCGCGGGGTGGTTACACATAGCTCTGGTATTTTCCGATCTTCTACCACACAAATCAGAATTATACATGCTGAATCTTCTGTCTTTCAGGGAACCATGCACAAGCCCTCGCCCTCGCTGCCTCGACCCTGGGTATTCCCGCCTATATTGTGATGCCCCGCATCAGCACGCCATCGAAGATTGCGGGTACGCAGTCCCACGGCGCGGAGGTAATTTTCAGCGGCTCGACAAGTGTAGAACGGGAAGCTGTGGTGGCAGAGATACAGGCGAAGACAAACGCCATTCTCGTGCCACCATACGATGATTTCAATGTCATTTGTGGGCAGGGTACAACGGCTTTGGAGCTGGAGGCACAGCATGCCGAACAAGCTGGGTCCCGACCCCTAGATGCCGTTATCACTCCTATTGGTGGAGGTGGACTCAACTCCGGCGTGGCGACGTGGTTCTCGGATAAGAAGACACGCGTGTTCGGCGCAGAGCCCAGCTTTGAAGGCGCAGATGATTGTCGGCGCGGACTGCAGGTTGGACTGCGTGTGGAAGCCGTTCGCACCCTCACTATCGCAGATGGGCTACGCACTCCAGTGGGATTACTCAATTGGGAGGTCATCTCTAATCCGAAGAAGGTGGAAGGGGTGTTCGCTGTCACTGAAGAGCAGATCAAGTCGGCCATGCGGTTGGTTATAGAGCGCATGAAACTTGTTGTTGAGCCGAGTGCAGTGGTTGGACTGGCCGTGTGTCTGTTTGATGAAAACTTCAGGCGACGAGTCGAGCAAGAGGGTGGCAAGGAGGGATGGGATGTTGGCATTGTGTTCAGCGGCGGCAACACAACCGTCGAGGCAATTGCCAAGCTGTTTACATGAATCTACGAAATTTGAGCCTACGAAATTGAATATAAAGCATTGGCAGAGATGAATATACACCGTGAATAGAACCGTTCAATCAATGATGAGGATCAGTCATCTCAACCCCAGAGTCACGAATGTAAAATGAAAAGCTCCCACCATTGTTCGCCTCTATTGCTTCCACGATGCGACGAGGCCATTCATTGCGTCCCCATGAATTGACCCATGCCGATATCTTCCCTTGCTGAACCACGCTCTGCCGTGAAGGGGCGTCTTTCACGGCTGCATGAGCGGCCATGCCGGGTGGGAATGGACGAACGGAAGACCGGTGGACAATCAGACGCAGTGTTGAAAAAGTGCCCCAGGGTGCAGGGAGAGCAGGTCTCAGCGGTGGAGTACAAACCTGGGGCTGGTCGTAGTAACCAGTGCCAGAGGCTCGACCCCCTGATACCGTTGTAGTATACACAACTGCACACTGAAACTGACTCTGCACACCCCTCAGCTCCCTCACCAGCTCGGTATAGAGGTCAGACAAATGGAAACTCTTCTTTTGCTCGCGCTCGGCGTCAATTTCTGCCTGAGGACGCCCGATTTCTTCTGTCCGAGCGACCTCGTCACGCAGCCGGTCTTGTTTGATGAAAGCGGTGGCACTGTCGATGGCGATCATTTGCAAGGGACGTGATGCGGAACGATGTCGTGAGAGATCGAAAAGGTACGATTCTAGCGTCCGGATTGTCGCCAAAAGAGCAGATGAAGATTGCGGGCGAAATACATGGACATGCTGCAGTGAAGAAACGAGCAATGATTCAAGATGATGATCTGGCATTCCTCCTGATTGAGCCCCGGGACCTGACTCAGATATTCCACGCTGCTTCAGTACGATATCTCGAGCCACAGTCCTTAGTCTTTCGGCATCGAATCGGTGGTCGGTATCTATAAACACCACGGCTGCCTCTTTGCCACTGACTGAGATGTCTCCATATCTTCGTGGTAAGATAGCGAGAGCCGTGAGATAGTACAATAGCTGCGACTTCCCCGAAGCCGACAGGCTGCTTGAAATCTCCAAGACAGGAACCTGCTGTTTCTTGCTACCGGCTGGGTCAGAGGGCAACACATTGGCAAGTGGCTCAATGTCTTGCGCTGCGTGTATTTCATCCGGCCTAGAACCCTGACCAGCCGGGAATTCACTGTGCCGCAGCATTTCCTCATCTTCAAGAATCTGCTGTTCTACATGCTCACTTGAAGGTTGAAGCTGTCCATCGTTCATAGCACCTGACACAGGAAGTGCTTTCGGCGCAAAGACTTCAAGCAAAGTGTCCAGAATGGGCACGCCCAATGAATGCGGGTCATGGCTTGAGTGACTAGGAAACACACGGGCCAATACAGAGAGTATCTAGAACTAGTCAACTCAATGCATTCAACGAAATAGGCAAGCTGCAATACCTCGTCCAATCCCTCTTCATGTACATCGGCTAGCGATCTCTCCCCGAGATTGGCTGCCATGGGTAAGCACTGGACTGCGTCATGGATCTTGCATCACTTGATCTTGACCAAGGCGTTTAAAGCGCAGTGAATAGATGCGACCACAGTAGTAGAAGTGTAGAAGTGAAGTGTACAACATACGAGTGGTGATGCGTGCGGAATCGAATAGCGCGGCTGACGGAGCTTCGGAACTTCCCAACTTCCAAACTTTTCCCTTGACAACACCAAACCTCCATAATCTCACTCTAGTTGGATTATCTCATATTCATAATCGCAAATCACAATGGCTCCTCTCGTCCCCGTATTCTCCGCCGAATCCCTCCCCGATCATGTCAATACCATTCGCCGCAACTTCATAGACAAACGCCGCAAAGGCGAACCAGTCAACCTCAAGGAGTGCCCATTACTTGAAATGACACAATTCTCTTGCAATCCACCACAAAATGGAGTTCCCGAACCAGGGGTTGTGGTGTGTGAGCCTGTGGTGCGATTGTTCCGACGGTGAGTCTTAAGCTCCGCGTTCAAGTCAAATGGCAAGCTGATCTTGTAGCTGTGCCGGTGGGTTAATGGTTGAAACAACATCATGGGAGCCAATTAGGATTGCAGAGGAAGCGAAGCAAGCAGCAAGTACAAAAAAATGAGACGGACTACTTTGCATTACGAATGCGCATTGGGCGGAGTTGGCTATATGGGATTACGACTATTTGCAAGTTTCAAGAATAAAAGTTGCATTCGAATAATGCTTGTGACTGCCATGGGGTATCTCCTCAGGTCATGCTCCTGAATAAAACACAAGCGCCAGCCCATAATCGGGGGAGAAAAGAAAAGAAAAGAACGCCGGTAAGCCTTATGCCTTTGTAATTTACAGGTCAATCATGAGATCCGCCGGCTCGACACTTGCTAGAGGCTTTGGAGTCTTATCCTCTCTTCGCTGTGTATTCGAGCTTGTCTGGCGCCAGAGATCTCGCTCACAGTTGACAATGGGGCCCAGCTCTGAGATGTTGAGCCGGGGCTTGGTGTCGGCATCCGCCGGGTGTCCCGAGGCAATATCCATAGTTGAGCTGGTGATTGTGCCGTGGGAGTCCTTGCTGTGCTTTTTGGATAGTCCCTTGATCGTCTTTTCGAACATGCTTTCCATGCTGTCCATTCTCCGACCCCAGAGTTTCTTATCGCGGCCAGTCGAACCCGTCTGGTTGTCGCGGAATGCCGCGCCCGCTAATTTGCGCAAAGCTTCCTCGCCATGCCGTCCATCCTCTGCAGCGCGTTCCCTAATTTTGCGCGGGTCGTTGTCTCGTCCGATGAAAACTGCGGTGGCAGAGTAGGTGTGTTTGCTAGGGAAGCTCGGGAAGTGTTTGGGGATATAGGGACGACTTGCGCGGTCGTCTTCACTGCTTAGAGACGTGAGGAATGGGAGAGATTTGGATATTTCATTCTCTGGTGGGGGAGATGGTAGTAATGTCGGCTTGGGTTGGTCTAAGGGCGTTTTGAGATGAGGGAGAAGATCATCGGGATTGAGGCGGATACGCTTCAGAGCGTGGTCGAAATCGTGCGGAATTGGTTGGATACGTCGCGCAGATAGCATGGACTGACGGATGAATGTAGAGAGTCGGAGCATATCTGGAGATTTCAGGCGCAAACCGTCAATTCAAGCTCCAAAATGAATACGATACCAGGTCACGTACACTCTTCAGTAGCACTACAGAGACTTGACAGCGCAGCTGGATCGGCTAACTCAAACCCCGAATCCTTCAAAGTCTGGCCGACTGCCCGATTCATTAATTGGTCCAGTTGGGTGTCATCTTGCACGACTGGCTCGGACATGGATGGGAGAATCACGGGCTCTTGTAAACGATGGTGGTGATGGCAATGACGCTTTATCCGCTTCGCATGGTTCTCATCGAATGATGAAGCAGGTCTTTTAATATGGGCGCCCGATGTCGCCATGGCGATTGTGTTGGTCTAATTCAAGAAGTGGTCGTCCAGACTAGGCAATGTTATCGAGTTGGGTCACGGTCACGTGCTAAGGCGGTAAGTAGATCGATGTCATAGACCTTCGGGGGAGGAGGAAGCAATGTGAATGAATGGCTTAGTTTGGGCTTGAGTAGATAAATTGCTTGGGTAGGACATTCATTATATGACGGCAAATAATTCGACCAACAAGGCTTCGTTCGTCCTACATATCCTCCATCTCGAAGGCTTCCTCGTGGTCTTGCTTTTGGTATTGACATAGGTAGTGCTAAATGGCAAAAAGCTATTCCATTGATGCAAGTGATTCATTATATATAAATCTACAAGAAAATAGATCTTTGATCGTTATTTCGCAGCCGCGGAATGGTAAGGGAGTAGTGAACATGCCATAAATTGTAGTTGGCTCTCATAGTTAGACCGACCAATCCGGCGGCTCGCTTAGTCCGCTCCGAAGCTTCAACTTCACTTCACAAATCAGCCTTCTTCCCTACCCCCCTCTCCTCTCCCCACCAACGTCCGAGGCAGGATTTAAGCTGTCCACAACCCATATTGCTTTTGCTCAAGCATCGATTGACGCAACTTATTCGTCGCAATGCCCGCCGCCATTCCCCCCATTACCGGCGTACGTGCCCCTTCCGTTGAAGGCCGGGTTAACCCGCTCGGGTTACCAGGTCAATTGAGGTGTTCGGAATGATTTACTGACATTCTATGCCTCTCACAGATGCTCCGGCGTGGTCTTGTCCTGGACCTGAGCACCGCTTTCGGTAAGTCGTGATTCCGGATCGAGTGGCATGATTCAAGCCGACAAGTTGAACCTCGCGATCTCGCGGGAGCAACCACATGAAATACAAACACCATGAAGACGGCTGGGATGAGATCAACAAGTGAAATAGTTGCTGACTAGGGTTATCTCATCCACTAGGCTTCGGTACTACCTTCGGCTACCTCTGGTGGTACGGTAAGTAGATTTATCCCCGGCTGCGCCACCACGCGATCGATAATTCGAAATCTGACATGTGTTTGTCCTACAGGATACCACCTTCCCCGCGTGCGTGAGCGTGATACCTACTACGCCCGCCTCGAGGTTGAGCGTGCTGCCCAGCGGGGTTAAATCGATCAACCCTGATCACCTCTCGATCGTCTCCCTCCCGCCCGTTCGGCGCCAGTTCTTTTCTTTGTCAAAGCGTTATCTAGAAATCGCCCAGTGGTGGGGGCATATGCCTCCACGTCACCATCGGGTCTGGTTGGATCGACGGGTGTGTACGAGTGGGTGGTTAGATTTGAGATTGATTGTACATATACGCCTGTGGACAACCGACCGTTTTGATTTTTGGACTTGACTCTTGAAATAGATTACCGATTGGCCATGGCCATCGCAGACCATTCTACGTAGTAGCGCCCGAACGCACAGAGCGATATACTTGACCCCTACGCCTGACCAACCAAAATGAGCGAATTGGATCTATTGTGTTCAAACGCTAATTACGCCGGATATATGTACGTGGAAACACCAGCGCACCCTTCGCGGGATTGCCGAACCATGTCTCCGCCATGTGTAAAGCCATAACCATCATCCCGTATCTGGTCATCCCCGTGGGGTATGGGCGAGTGTCTCGTATGGAACCGATGGAAAAACGGCAAGTATGAAGCCCTAACAGGCGTTCACCGTAGCACTCGATCAAATGATATGCCTCGGACGGTCCCGCCGGCCATGGAGGTGCGCACGTTTTTCTTGAAGTTCTCACGAGTGGCGCGAAGATCTTCCGCGGCGTCCTTATTGAGAGGGTCGGAGGCGTTTGGCTCAAGGAAAAGGAACTGCAGTAGAATACGGGTTAGCTCAAGTAACGACCGGTTAAAAGGAAGACATCAACGGACCTGCATGCCCACAATGACAGCATTCAAATTCAACACGGGCTTCCAGTCCTCTCGTAGAATATTTAAGCAGACGTTGCCCTCCAAGTCGATATTGGGGTGGTAGATCTTCTGCGTGCATTTGACCTTGGGGGGATCATGGGGGAAGTTCTGATTGACGGCAAAGCTAAAGTTGAAGACGCCACCCTTATACATGCCCTCGTCCGGTTCGATAGTCAAGGTGAAGTTAAGGATGTCGTCTGGGTTCGGGAAAGACATTTTCATCGTGCTGCCGAGGGTGAGTTCTTGAAGGTCTAAAGAAAAACAAGAGGTTAGAGATATATAACAATAAGCCATTAATCAAGCAGCGAGAGTAATAATGTCCGCTGCGGGAGAGTCACTCACCTCGTTGCACGCGTAATTGCGCCGCGGTGACCTTCTTCTTCTTCTTGCCTCCAGCACCCTCGGCATTTTCAGCCTCCTGCTGCTTTTGCTTCTGTACAGACGGTTAGGAATAGTTTGATTTTATAGAAGCGCCAAATAAAGCCCTACCATCGACCAGATTTTCAACATTTTGGTTGGGAGTGACCACCCCACCTGGTGGAACGGACGGGTTTCCGGGAGAGCGAAGTAGAAAGTTTATGGCGAGATAACCACTCTGGGGATGTCAGAGAGTAAAGGAGAGACAGAAGCCAGATGCAGAGCTATAAAAAGCGAGATCAACGGGTGACAACGGTGACAATGATGAGAGTAAAGGATAGCCTTGTGCTTGCGGGGTCTCAGATCAGCAATCGTCCTTTATCGCCTCTCCGCCTTCCATTGACATATTCGACCTCGGGAACTCCGTACTATACACAGTCTATGGGATATATATCTCTACTAAGTATTGAAATCTCGAGGAGAAAAAAATTAATTGAATATGAAGTACATAATCATAGCGCTCCGAATGCGATCCCGGTGCATGGCTGATCCGACAAAAAAAGATCACAGTAACCGTCAAGGTAAAACCGCGCGAATACATACTGGCTGGCATTGCAAAATGAAAAGAGAACAGAATTGGGCATCTTTAGGTAGAATACAGATCACGGTATGGGAAAGAAAAAGGAGAACGAACAGGAAATATGGGTCAGGGGGGTCATGAAAAAGGGGCATTTTTTGCTCGCTGGAATTCAACTACCGGCGTGCAAAGCAGCATTTGATACCAGTGCGACCCAGGAACCAACAGCATCCAATGAAGCGGAACAATGCCACAATGGCGTTGGACCACAAGAGGGCCTGGAAGAAACGGGCTGTACGGGCGGTGGCGGTATTCTATGATCATATTAGCTGGTGGTCTAATAACAAGGTTAAGAGAAAGGGCGAAAACTCACTGTGAAGCCGAACTTGTCGACGGCCTCGCTGGTGATGCAGACGGCCATGAGTGCATTACTGAAGATCCAAAAGGTGACAAGTCGAGTACGGAAACTCTTGTAGGAGTCCTCGAGGGTCTTTTCGTCGTTTTCCACGGGGGCAACGAATGGGGTGAGCGCACGCTTCACAGTTGCCTCGAACTGACTGTCGATATCCGCTTGGGGCTTGTCAATTTCTTCTATTACCGCTTCCTTGCTGCCTTCGTCCTTTGTGGTCGTGGCTGACGGCAATGCATCGGCCTTGTCGGAACCCTTCGTACCCCAGGAGACATCGTGCCAATTGCTGAAGGCATAGACGTTCAAGATGTTGATATAGGACGACTGGACAACCATATAGGCAGGGAAGGAGGTGAACATGTGCCATGGGTCAGCGTACATGAAGGAGGCAACGAAGTAAAGACCGAATGTGGCAGCCAAGGCAATGATAATGATACCAGCACCCGTCGAACCGAAGAAAGAGTCGAGGAAGGCTTTTACGCCTTTGTCGGTAACAAAGTCCATGGGCGCGCCGCCGGTGAACGCACGAACGACCAGGTAGATCGAATCGACCACAATGTAGACCTGAATGAGACCGAAGACCACGAATGAAGCGAGGTAGGAGAACTTGGAACCCTTGGGTCTGTTACCGAGCGCGAGAATGAACTGCAGCAATAGGAAAGCGAGGTATCCGTACTTGACAATGGTGTTGATAATGGGCGTGGCCGTCTTGCCGAAGGGGAAAGCGGTTTGTCCGTTGCTGGCGCTGGGAGTACCGACAAGGTCAATGATGACAGTGGTGGTCAGCCAGTATGATGCCAGGGAGAACCAGGTGAGGATAGTGTTGAAGATGTTATACAACATCTGAATGTGGAGGAAGAACATGCGCACGATGTTGTGACCACTCTTGTACATACGTCCAAAGTGCATCAGCGAGTAAATACCGGCTGCAAAAGAACCGTTGAGCCAACGGCGACGCTGGGAGATGAACTCGGCAGCACCTTCGGGCACATCAGTTTCACCCTTAGAGGCTTTGACGTAGGACAAGTGCCACTTAGAGCCTGCTTTGGCGACCAACTCGAAACAGAGAATTCGATCCTCGGCCAAGAACATGTTCTTCTTGAAAATGTTCATACCCTCAATACCCTTCTTTCCGAGCTGCTTAGACAGCGTGTGATCACCATGGAAATATTGTTCGAGAGGGCGACCCATGATTGCACGGAATCGATAGGCCGAGAATGCACCGGGCAAGACACTAACGTAACCAAACGAACTCTCCAGAGGCTTATCCAAGATGTTACTGATCTTGTACTCGAAGTTCTGAGCAGCCACGAGAGGGTTGATCAAGTTTTTCCATCCCTTACCCAGCATAGCGTGAATTTCACCACAAGCGCCGCCGAGATCCTTGTCGTTATAGAATGCTTCCCAGAGGTACAACAACGACTTAGGGCCAGGCTTCGTACCGGCATCCAGAAGGATACAGATCTCGGGGTTCAGAATGCGGCCGAAGGCGTTAAAGAGCCAACGATGCGAATTGATCTTCTTGCTGTTCTTTTGTTTCAAACAGAACATCATTTGCACTGGTGGGAGTGTGCTGGGCCCATCGTCCGTAGGCCGAATGAGCTGCTGACTTGGCGTGACCGAAAGCTGAGTCGTATATTCAAACTGGATATTCTGTTAGCGCTATTTCATTTGGAGCCATATTCCGTCCACTTACAATATGCGCCAAAGTCTCCTTGCCGTCAACATCGCGCTTCATGACACCATCCTGGTAGATACCGACAGTCGCAAGAACGTCAAGAGTATCCTTGTCGCAAGGGTCAATACCATCAAAGACCAGCGCCACAACAATCTTCTGCCACGCGGGTCCACCCTTGTTCCAGAACTCGGATTTCTTCAGGTTGACAATGTCGCGAATGTTCTGCATCACACCGTGCAAGGTACGGGCCGTTAGATTCTTATCCTCGTTGTAGTAGGTAATCGCGATGAGCAGCTCCGTATGACGGTTGTACATCGCGGGGCGCAGATTGTAACCATTGTGGAGAGTGAATTCGTTAGGATCACAAGTGGCTGCGGTGTCTATGAAGTGAAGGCTCATTAGTCTTTTTCTCTTAGAGCCATATGTTCGGTCCACACGTACATCGCATGTGGGTAAACTCCTCGCTTCCACCTTCCACGTCGTTGCGGTATTTGGCTTGGATGGCATTCTGGATGGCACTGGGCACGGGGTAGTCGACACTCAGGACGGAACCCTGCACTAGCTTGACCTTCCTGGTAGCATATCTGCGCAAGCCACCGCCAGCACCACCACCGACACCACCGCCCCCAGGGGCCTGTCGCTGGCGCCAAGCCTCTGTGGATGAGGTTTCGCTGCGGGCGTAGGGCGATGCAACTCGGCCGGGGACCCCAAAGGCTGCCGCGGTGGTCTCATCCTGGCCGGAATAGACGTTGCCAGTATTATATGGGTCGTGGTACGAAGGGGCGGTGTCCGCTGCGTAGGTCTCCGTCAAGCTGTACCCCGAAGCTGGGCGCTGGGGAGAAACGCCGCGCGAGTGGGGGTCATCAAAGGGCGTCGCGAATGGACCCTGCTGTTGGGACAATAATCCGCGGGCTGCATCCTCATCCTCGCGATACTAAAGAAAAAAAAAACACCGAGGTCAGCTCTAGCAACTAGTTCACCGCCTCTCCACACACATACCTGCGAAGATGGCACATCCTGCAGATGAACACCGTCATCGTAGCCCGGGGAGTGCGAGCCAGAGCCGTGGTAGGCCATGGTGTCGCAAAGGTTGAAAAATCAGAAAGGGATGTGTTTCAAAGCTGACAGGAGAGGGGTATCTGTTCAAGCAGGGCGCATTTATGAACAATTATCGAAGCAACGGGGCTAGGGGAAGGGAGAAAGTGAAATCTGTTTTTCCCGAGAATCTTGGAATATTGCAAATGTTTTGAATCAAGGGTCAAAGAAAAGAAAGGAAGAGAAGGGGGGGAAAGGGTAAAAAAAAAGGGAGACAGTCAGACTAGAAGGGTCAAAAATAGACCGTCTCTAACCCCGTCCTGGTTTAGTTTCCCCTTTATTTTGGGGGTTTTTTTCATTTGACTAGTTTATTGGAATTATTTGTATCTTTAAATATGTACGGAGTATTTATTTTTGACTATTCTATACTAGCCATGGATATCCTTGACTTAGTCGTAAATCGCATACATACTCCATGTCCATCCCTGGAGAACAATAGCCCGATGGCCCCCCGAGGCCCTATGGAGGACCCTCACTGGTTAGGAGGCGAAAGCTGAGATGCTCGGAATTCTGACATTTACTCTAGTCTCCTTTTCGTTCTGATTCGTGGCCTTCTATTGATTCTATGATGCTTTGGGTAGGGAGCAGCCTTGGAACTACATACATACTCCAGATCTTTTATACGTGGTACTGAGTGGACTAGAACACCCGAACCTAATAAACTTGCTCCACTGGTGAAACACTTGGTGAATAGACCTCTCATATAAGAGTTCAGTTTGGTTCACCTAGGTAGATATAGAGAATTCATTCCACATTCTTGAGAGAACAACAATACCATTAGAAAAGGCTTGACACCTAGGGCGGTATGCCCGACTCCACTATAGGTGTTTGAATGCCAGCACATAAATGTGTTCAAAGCCCTCGGCTACAGCGTCCCGTTTTAATTCCTCAATTGCAGGCTGAGCTTATTCTGTAATTCTTTGTGTATGGTTATTCTATCATTCTACCAAGTACTCTAGCATGAAGTATACTCTGAGGTCACCTGACTCTGGTAATTTTAGACCTCACTGTGGACCCTAAGCATTTAGCGTATGTATATTTTGCTGTGCCAAGTCGATTAGCCTATTATATTCCAAGGCTAACATTAACCTTGGGCTGAGTTGTGCTGATGTTCAGCCTCGTAGTCAGTTCATTCCATATGCGGTGGCTATGTCACTGCGCCCCGAGGTATACGATGATTACCATGGGTTGAAAATTTCGAATCTTAATTTCCCTTAATGTCCCTGATTTCCCTTTTTTCCCCGTTTCCCCAATTCCCCAATTCGCCAAGATAATAAGATTTCAGTGACCCCATTCGTCTGGTCCACGGAAGGCAGTTAGAGATTAATTGCCGCTAACCCGATTGGGGAAATACACCAGAAACAGCACCCGGACAACAAGATAAGCAGACAAACCAAACAAACACGCCAAACAAACCACAAACAAACCAAATCAGACAAACAGCCAACGAAAAACTCTATTTCTCGCAATCTTGGAAAATCGATGATCCGAGAGTCCAGACCCGCGGACCACTTGCAGGCACAGTAAGATGCCCACTTATGTTCCTCGCATCCATGTAAGGTGAACATGGGATGAAACAATCTGATAGCATATTTAATATTAAAGGCTGTAGCATCTCAGATTTCACTTCATTTTTCCCTGCATGTTTTCGCCTTATATCCTCTCTACACCAGACCTAGGTACTACTATAAAATATACACCACAACCCGTTGTGTACCTGACTACCCCGTATATTACCCGTGGAACCTCACGGGCCCGTGACCAAGGCCCCCCCAATTATCCCCCCGTCTCTCTTTTGACTTGTCATACTCTCTATCTCCCTCTCTCTCTCTCATTTATTCATCTATTCTCCCCACACTGATCTTGCGATCGGGTGTGGTTTGTGAGTCGATTTTCTCTGATACGCGCGTCGGGCCAACGTCAACAAATCAAGCCCCCCTATCCCGACCGTCTTTGACATATACAATCCCTGTCAAGTGTCTGGACCATTCCGAGGACCATGACCATCACTTAAATCGCATCTCGACCTTGATTTCACACACGACACTCGTTTCCTGCCACGCCTCACGGCTCGGCTTTGATGATCTACTGTTTACGCTCACGACTTGACGCCGATTGAGCACCTTACACTCCTTTTTTCTTATTTTATCTTGCACATTCTTTGCCGTTGACCGGCTTTATCGATATCTTTCTCTGTTTTTTATCTCGATCTTCCTCGCCTACCATGTCTTTCGAACCCATGGATTCCGCCTTCTCCCCCGCCCGCTCCGTCTTCAAGCGCTGCAAGCAGTGTGAAACCACATCCCCCGCCTGTCCCGCATGTCCCGATGGATCAATATGTACCATGACCGCCCCGAGCTGTGATGCATGCGCCACCACTAAGTGCGTTTCAACGGGCGCCGCGCCCTCGAACTCCGGGGGCACCGACACTGGCGCTATTGCTGGTGGTGTTGTCGGAGGCGTGGCTGCCATCGCCATCGTTGTATTCTTGATATGGTGGTTCATCATCCGAAAGAAGCGCCTGGAGCGCCAGGAGGCGGAGAAGAACGGTTCATTCGCAGCAGCTCGCAGTGAACGCCGGTCCATCGCCTCTACAGTCCTAACCCGTGCCTCCAATGTAATCCAAATCGCTTACATTCCTGGTGTCACCAACCGCTCTCCACCGCAGACCCCATCCACCCTTATGCCTCCTATTCCACCGCTTCCTGGTGCGACACCCGATCAACACTTCTTCATGCCGGGTGACCTGCGTGACTCGTCATGGACGACCACTACCGGCCACCAGAGCATCTCCCCCACTTTGCGCAGCAGTGTGGCCACCACCATCTACCGCAACGATGCCATTGTCAGTGCCGTTCCTGCGCAGCAGATCCAGCGGACTCGGGCAGCCGTCGTGAGTATCCACAACGGAGGACCTGGGTCAGCGAATGCCCCTGGAGACGACTCGCCCGTTACTGTCACGATTACCCCTGCAGACGCACCCGCTGTCCCAGCCATTACCCCGGCGCAACTCGCTCGGGCGGAGGCTGTCAAGGGCAACAGTTCATGTATTGCTCGCAGTGTAACCGCCAAGCCAGTGATGGTGCGTGGCCCTTCGGTGAAGAACAAGCAAGCCAACAACGCGCCCGCTGCCAACCGAGTCGAAGAGCTGTCCGGGAACAGTAAAAGCAATGACACCAGCCCGACAGTATCAACCACAAACAGCAACCAGTCCAGTCCGTTCTCATCGGTCGAAGATGAAGCTGCTGATTCTTCGATTCGCGACGCACGTCGCGCTTCCGGCTTGAGTGACGGACGTAACTCCCCTCGGACGCCACCCGCACGGGTAGAAAGTCCATTCTCGGATGCCAATGAGGTGAAATGAGCTGGTCTGGGACCAACTGGGCGCAACGGTTTTTCTATTTTGTGATTTCCCACTATGCTTTCTCTGTATGTATGGAGCCTACCATGGCTTTTTGTACCTTTTAGATATGTCCTTCCTTCGGGTGCCTTGTACAGCGAGTGTTGGCACACTGAGATGGGATTGTCGATTGAATCTTTACTCTCATTCATTTTCATTTTGGAGTATCATACCTTCACATTCGTACTGCCATGAGAATCCGTGTTACACTGTCCTATAGGCTTCTTTCGGACTAAACTATCTCTATCGCGAATTTTCCAAAAACCGAAGCAGATAAAATGTTTAAAGTAATCGCAGAATAAAAATGAGACCCTTCCCACTTCACTTCTAAAGTCACTCTTGACTACTAGCTCGCAGACGGACTTGTGCTGTCTTTACATGGAGATAGTATCACCATGCTTCTGATTTATATACTTAAGACTAGCCGAATTCACTTAACTACATATTTTTCGTCATACTTTTCGTTTTGTTTTGTTTTCGTTTTCTCGAACCTTGTTATATATTTCCCAGCTCGAACAACACCAAACACACAAGACCTATACACCTAACCGCCCCTCTAGCCCGCCCCAAGATCCCAAAACCCCTTAAACTCGCTATCTCGCTTCACAAGAGCGGGAGGACAATCCCATTCTAGGAGCCGACCACCCCCCATAACAGCAACACGATCAAAGTCGACGACGGCACCAAGGCGATGCGCAACAGCAATAACGCGCATCATATCCCGGATGAGCCGCTCGGACCGCTCATCGACGTTGCTACTCGCTTCGTCGATTAGGACGATCTGTTTGCCGACCAGCATAGCCCGGGCGATGCACAGGAGCTGGCGCTGGCCCTGCGAGAGCCGGTCGGCGTCTAGCGGGCTGTCTAGACCACCCAGCCGATCTACGACATCGTCCCTCTTGAGCTGGTGCAGCACTGTTTACCCATAGTAAGAGGTTAGTGCCGTGTTTTTTTGTGTCACATTGGGGCTTGGGGGCGCTGTTAAAACTCACATCAGCAGAAAGCGACAAAGGGCACAAGTGTGGATGCAAAATACCCAGAAAAGACGCACATCAGGATGACCGACATGATGATGAGGGCGAAGGGCAGCTCGGTGTCGACAGCCGACATGTCCTGGCTGAAGCGATTCGTGGTGACTCCGACGTCGATGCGCGAGAATAAGGCCACTGGGGTATTCATGACGGAATGGAGAAGCCGGGCGTGGAGAACCTCGGAGCTCGAAGCCACCATGACGACCAGGAAGAGATATGCAGCCCCTGTGATGCCCAAGACGGCAAGACCAGTGAGCTTTGCGAGGAGACCGAGGCAGTAGTCATTGGTGGCTTGGCCGCATCCTTCTGTAGTGTCTGTCCAGAAGCTGAGTACGAGTGCCGTCATCCGATAACTTCCCGCGTACAGAATGGTGAGGACAGCGAGCAGTATGGTGTGCCATACAGGGACGGAGCCAAAGTAATACGCATATGTGGCAAACTCGCCGAGGACTCGTCCGGGCGATTCAGAGTCGTCGCTGTCCTGTTCAGCATCTTGTTCATATCGGCCCCGAGGAACAGTCTCGTGGCGATGCTGCACCGATGCGTCAGCTGCGTCCTGCGTGTCAATCGCGCCGTTCTGCTCGACTGCTAGCCCATGCGGATAATCTGTATCGGATTGAAGTTGGGCGAATGACCCCTGATGCATGATATGGCCGCTCACATCCAGAGCGACGACATGATCTGCCATAGGCGAGTCTATGGATGGCGTTCGTGACACAGACCATAGTTATGCTCATCTCTTGGAAGAGACCCGTCTCGGCAAAAAGATTCTGTAAGACGTGCTCCTCGGTCGCCGCATCCTGCCCTGCAAAGACATCTTCCAACAAGACAGTCTTCTTCGTGGATTAGACGGCTCGGGCCAAGGCGAGCCGCTGCTTTTGGCCGCCGCTCAACGAAGACCCCGCGCTGCCTGCCCTTGTCGCATCTTCGTCGGGAAGCTCGTTGATATCCTACTCTAGCCCGCACGCGTAGACAACTTTGTCGTACCATTCCGCGTCGTAGCTGGCACTGCCTAGGATATTATGGCGTATCGTCAGGTTCTGGATTCAGGGCTCCTGACCAACAAACGCGATATTGCCGGGATCGGCATGGATGGAACCCGCTTGGAGCGGGACTTCTCCTAGAATGGCTCGCATGAGAGTGCTCTTGCCTGAGCCGACAGGTCCAACGACGAAGGTGAATCTGCGGATTCCAACAGTGATGTCGTTGAGGATGTCCGGCTTTCCGGGAACCCAGCCAAAATTGGCTCCTGATATCGCTACAAGCGTGTCTCCTTTCTCATCGGCTTAGCTTGGATGATGATCCCGCTCGCCCAAGGGCAGGAACAAGAGCAGAAATCCATCGACGAAGGCGAGCACGGCGGCGGACGTCCGCAACCGAGAGAAAGGCCACTTCTCTGCATTCAGAGCCCAGTACACCAAGACTGCAAGTTATAGAGCCGTGTAGACGCCGATCAACCCCTGCAGTTACTGAACTAGTCAGTAGTTGTTTTTTCTTGGGCCAGAGAAAAACTAGGGCGGAGGTTATCACGTGCCACTTCCACGATTGGCCGGTGGCTTTTGGCGACCTTGCGAGGCTGTCTCGCGAGCCAGAAGAGACTCTGTAGGGACACAACCAGAAATAGAGCCGAGGGGACGATGCAGAGAATGGCGTCCTCGAAGGCTGGCATAAAGTCGAAAGCGCCTGTGCTAGCAACGACGGCAAACCGAGCTTCGGGCGACATTTCTAACCTCTCACCTAGCTATCCTTTGAAGCCTTATCAAAATACTGGAAGGCTTTCATTGGAGAAGTTGGTTATATTGGGCTGGTTGCGCGATATGAAGGAATCTGGTGCAATATTACGTTTCATGGCGTACTGGCGGTTGGAGACTGCCATAGGAAGGGAATCGGTCAAATACGTAGATTTACCATTAACGTTTGTTCGAAACCTGCTTATTGGTCAGGTAAAATGATACAAGGTCAATGAAATGATGATCAGATCATAGAATTGAATCTTGTCTTCTCGTTCTGTTGTGCCCCTTTGTATACATCAGTACCCCGCTTCCAGGTCCCAACGACTTCCAGACCTATATCGTAGGCGGATCAAGGAACAGTACTCCGATCCATAGTTTTACACTGTTCCTCTTTGACAACGACGAATAATATTATGAAAGAAGAGATCCATAACACAACTACTCCGTATTCGAAGTGGCACCCACTAATCGGGAAGGTGGGTACTATAAGGGCCGGGCCGTGTTCTGGAACAACCACGATGTTGTACATACTCGAATCTATCATTTTATTAAATTCTCATTAAATACGATGCTTGAAGTAGAGGCAAATAAGCTCCTAGCATTGGAGAAGATAGAGAGAGTAAGCCATCTTTGCTCAAACTAGGAAATAGGGCCTTGGCTGAGAGTGACAAGGGCATATCGACAAGACCTGATTTTGACCGTCACACCTATAAGATGTACATTCTTTTAACACTATTTGACATGTTTCTTACGCATATATACAAGCTTCTGCACGCCTTCCGGTTGCTTGGTTGAATGATTAATATAGATTACATAAAACTAACTAGAGTGGTGATTGGCCCATACCGCTAAAATATATTCCCCGAAGTACATAAACCAAACTGCGTTCAAATCCGAGTCCGATCCTAATAGAATCTATAACAGCCCGACAGCTCCCTTATTATATGAATATTCCACTCATCCCTGAGACTTTTCTTGCGTCTTTTCTGACGAATTATGAGGTACGTCGGGGTTCTCATCCAATCGTTCGGTAACAAGCTCCTTCAGAGAATGTTTTGGAGAAGTACTGGGGAACATGTCAGATATATAGCATGAGTGGAATTGTCTATTGCCTCACTCACGATGTAAATGAATTCTCGTAGTCTGCCCGGATTTGCCTATCTGACTCTTCCTTGTCCACGATCTTTTGAAGGTCTTCAGGGAGAGGCTCCGAAATCGACTCTCTGTCTTCTTCGCGTTCAGGCATAATGTTCTAGGATTTAGATACTATAACCGTGGATGTGGATAAGTCTAGAATCATTCCAGGTAGGAATGCGGATAATATAGGCTACTTTGTATAGATCGGTGGTACCGCGGTAGACATGGAGGGCGCCCCTCACATTATTGACGTCACGCGAGACAATCCGGTTATCTCCTGAACTTCGGGCGACCTGAGCCGTCCGATCGTAGAAGGTTCACGGGATGGTGAGTCATTATTGCTTCATTATGATGTAATGCGCCGAAATGGCCTGAGGTATGGATATCTCGGAAATATGTCGGCCAAAACCCCCCTCATATCTTCCCTCGCCATCCCCTCCATCGCGGTTTCTCAATCCTTGCCAATCTTTTCTAGCACAGTTGTACGGTGGCCGAAGTCATCTTTTGACTAAAGAAATGTCCGAGAAAGAACAAAAAGACGGTTCGGCGGCTCTCGGGCTGCAGAGGACAGAGACTAAGGAGTCCCTGGAGGATTTGGGAATATCAGACAAGTCTCCACCATTGGACGTCAACTATCCAGAAGTTGGTCGTGCAGAGAACCCTGAATTCCCCGAGGAGTACACCATCGAGACGAAAACTGGCCTCGTCCCTGAATCAGCACTGAAGCAGGTACGCTCTGAGGCGAGCCAGCACAAGGCCTCACGGCAGGACTCGAAAGAGTCAGGAAAGCGTTAATGACCTTCTCCTCTCCGACAATGAGAATCATCATGCTGTCTCTTTAGCTGCATCATTTGTGATTGTCTACATTGCATATTCCATGTCCATCGCCACCGACTTCGACTCGAGGGATCGAGCTTCATTTGGGAAAACTACAACATCTCGCTCGAGGTCACCACATTCACCTGCTCTATCATCGTCTGTGGATTCGTCACGCCTCTGCTTAGGTCTCCTTTGCCCGACACAATTGATCAAGGGCCTGAATACATTGTCTCGCTGAGTTGGTGTTTGCATTCAACATCTCATATACTCCGTCGCCGAATATTGGCGGGCTCCTTGTCTGCAGGTTCTTGTGTTGCGTTCCGGTTCAGGCCTATCACTGGCCGGTGATTGAAGAGCCCATCCTGATACAGCTCCTCATTGTGATTCTGTCGTCGGCCCGATTGTTTGCGGTTGAATCAACATTGGCTCGCGTCGTCTTGAATTGTTCTTTTGCGTTAATATAGCGTTTTCTCGTTGAAGCTATTCTTATTATACATAAATCTCTAATTTTCCACTATATAATGACATATTACTGGTGTTTAAAAAAAAGTGATTTAATTCTGCCGGACTTAATAATTCTATACTTTTGAATCCTACTTGATATACGGAGTTGTCAAAAAATTCCTACACTTTGATCAGATAACAACGTGTATTTGATCGCATACCTATTCTTTCAATCCCTTAATCATGATTGATAGAGCAGTCGTTAAAATAGTTGTGAAAGCAGTTGTTGACGATGAAGTAGTTGATGTGATAAAAGTGACTTAATTTTGTTAGTGGTTTATATACAAATTACAAATTGTACGTACTATGGAAGGTAGGGGGGGGGGGGGCGATTTAGCAAGGGGAGACCCGGAAATACCCACCCCCATATTATTAACCAGACAGCAAGGGGTATAAACAAATGGGCGGCAGGAGAAATATTGGTGGACATTT